ACAAACATACAATTTAATGTCTTTTTTCTTTTTTTAATAGGCTGTCTAGTGTGGGGCCTGATACTGGTCGCGTAATAAATGAGGGGATAAAAGGAAAGAAAGTAAGCATGTCTTCCTCAAGTCCCATGAATATGAATAATGCAGTTTCTAGTCATTTCTTATTAAATGAGAAAACATGTTGATTTTGCAGGTAAGAGATAAGAATTAGCGTTCCAGTGTGACTTACCTCAAACTACTGGAAGCTTGTTACGTTTGCCAGAATAGGGATCTGCCATAATTTACAGTTGAAACAACATGTCTTAAAGTTTTTTTATTTAAGTATTTATATTTGTGTCAAGTTAAATGCTGGCATGTTAAATGACAGCCCAAATTAATCTGTTTTCTCAAAATAAGACCAGGAATTTGGAAGTGCTTTACATTTTGTAGTAATCAAAAACTATTGTAACTCTTATCATAAACTTGTCCGAGCTGCTTTTGTTAAGAAGTGTCTGAAATGTAAATGAAGAAATGTTACAGATACTTGGGGCTCTGCTTACCTGCAGAAGAAACTGCAAGCGTTTAAAGCAACGGTGTCAGAAGTGTGTGCCTAGCTATCATGTGCACATTTAGAGTCTCTAGGGGAGATTATTCAGTAAAGTGGCCAGTGAATACTGCAGTTGGACTAGATGATTGTTGTGTTGAGTGTGTACTTCCAACTGCACTATTTTGTTCTATTACTGACTACATCAGAGAACTTAGGCAGCTACCGATCCTCTCTTTCATCGACCTGCTTCTCTGCCCAGCATTACGACGAACTAAGGGGTCACTTGCTTTTTATTCTGTAGCCTCCTCTGGACCCTGGGCATTATTATTCATGGGAAATGCATTGGGTTGAATGATATACAGTCTTTCATTGAAACCTATCAGTCATCCTCTCATAATTTAGCCCAAGAAGGCCTATGGATCCTCATGCCAGGGATTCTTGACAGTGCACATTTACTGGAGCCAGACATTAAGGGTGGGATAGAAGGGGAGCTGTCAGAGGCAACAGCTGGATGAAGTAGCATGAGAGATCATGGAAAGGACTTCTCAAATCCCGTCCTCACAAGAATTTTGTTTTGGGGTTTTGGTTTTTTGTTTGTTTTTTTTTTTTTGCTGCTGCCTTTTTTGTTGTTGTTTTTGTTGGCTGGTTGTGGTTGTCTGTGGGTTTGTTATTCATTTGTTTAGGGTTTGGTTTTCAGTTGTTTGTTTGGGTTCTTTCTGTTAATTGAGAAGGAAATCCAGCTCAATATGCAATGGCAAATGGCAACTGCTTGACAACAGACTGTTTTATACTGCCAGGAGAGGACTTATCAGTACAATATGCACGATTATACCATCCCACAGGGATACAGCTAAATGAACATAGCAACGCTGTTCACAAATAGTTCTAAAATAAACTGTCTTTGTTTACTGTTTTTACAATTTCTATTTACTTGTTTGCTAGTGAACAAATGAAAGACTTTGCATGTAAGAAACATTTAAGATAGCAAGAGTACGACAAAAATGCAGGAAGCCATTTTGGCAAAGGAATACACAGCCGAATTGATACAGTTTTTCCGAACAGCTCTTTTAATTAGCTACATGAACATATTCACCCACAAATTGAATAAATAGTTTGTGAACAGTAGAAGAGGGTTTATATCATTTAAAGCACAAGAAGAATACTACCATTTGAATGATCCTATTGTAAAGACAGATCAATCAACACCTTGAGGTCTAAAAAAACCCTGAAAATTACTGGATATCTGCAATATTTAAGTCTACAAAATCTACAGGCCTTTCTGTAGCTTTTTGATCAGGAAAAGCATACATTGATAAGATTTATTACATGCAATGAAGAATTACTGTAGGTCTCTTATAAAATAAGTAGGAGAGAGATCCAAAAGATCCCAGAGAAGAAACACCAAAAAAAAAGTAAAGCCTACAGTTTGATTGCAGTGTTTGAGTGCTGTACTATTGCTGGCCTCATAAAACAAACACAGTCACGCAAGAGGTTTATAAGTAGCATTCACAGAGCCCTAATTTTGAAGGCTATACAGCATTTTAGTTAGTGCCTTCACAAAAATCCGCCATCACTACCCGCCACAATAACTGCTCACCTAACTTAATTTGTTTGGTACTGCATTCTTCCTCTCCCAGACACACCAGTTTTGGCCACAGAAGCACACTTGTGTCTCCCAGACCAAGGAAAATGAGAGGGCAATGCTCCCTACAGAGTTTTAACCTGGCTGAAATCTTTATCCTTGTTCATATAAGGATGCATCTTTTTTATAGGCTCTTACTTGACTGTTGTGAGCAGAGGTCTGGTGCAATAGGACTGAAAACATCAGTGTAACAGACAAATTCTGCCTTGCCACAAGACCCATACATGGGCGGGTTCCTATTCTGCAGCTCTTGGAAGAGGATAGTAAGAGACCCACCAGTGTGAATTTGCCTGTGATTTCAGCAAATTGGATAGCGTAGTTCAGTTATTGTCACAAGGAGAGCGTAAATCAAGATAAATTTGGGGGAGAAGTGAATAGGCCAAACGACAAATATAACCAGATAGCCAAAGCTAAAAGTAGCACACACAAAAGAGAGGAAAAAACAAAGATACTTGAGAAAAGCAATACTATCTACTCTCCCATTCACCTAATCAAGATAATTTTACAGACCAGTAAAAGTTAAAAACTACAGTCAGCAGAGCCAGTATGAAATCATAAGTGATGTAGCTCACAGTCCAAATCTGCTCTTATTTTGTCCTTTATATTCACAAAGGCTAAGGCTCTACAAAGCTCAGGAAACAATTAAAATAACTGACAATCTTAAATATTCAATATTCATCCAATATTATGCTTTAAATAAATTCCCTTTAGTACTCTACACTAAACTATGATAAGCAGGTACAGAAGGAAATTAGAAGATCAGAGACCAGTTTTGGAGATAGCGGTAATAAAATAAGAAACCTCAAATGACCTCTAGGACACACCAAATTCTGATTTGGGTTCTAGGGGTAGTTTATGGTCTTGCTGTTTGGGGTTTTTTGTTTGTTTGTTGTTTTGTTTATTTCTTTGTTTTCCCCAGTTTCAGGCACTTTCATTAAAATATATCTTTAGGAATTGGCTTAAAATCAGGTTTAGGCCTACATTCAAATTTATTCCTAACACAAACGCAGATGGTACAATGTTACTGGGGGTGGGGGAGAAGGGAAGGGAAGAAGCAGTGCAGCAAATCTCCACCTTTATAAACCACTGAATCTCCACACAATTTCACCTCACTCAAGTCAATGCAAACAAAACAAATGTGTTTGTTTTATCTGTTTTCTAGCAGCCATAGGTCCTGCAGTAGACAAGGGTAAAAGAAGCTGCCATTCTTAGTTAAAGGTATTTTGAGAGGTGTGAGGGAGATGGAGATGAACTTCAAACTATTTCTCAATGATGGCATAACATCTACCCTGACACATACTGAAACTAACAAAAGGACCTATTAGTAATGAAGCAAAGCACAGGAGAATGGCAATATTGCGTAAGCACACTCACCTGAGTTAGTAAAAGACTGCTTCATAGTCCAAAATCAATCCTTAGATGCAGTGTAACTCAGGAGTATTTCTAACGTACAACCATGAGTTAGGTTGAACATTCTTGTGACTAGTGAATTCAACAGCTATTCTTCATTTTGAGTTAAAAGTCAGACCCATTTAGGATCTTGGATGGAATCAGACCACTTAGAACAACAGGTGTATGTGGTAGAAGAGGGAAGGGTGTTACTTTTTTCCTTGCAGGAAGGGGAGAGCATCTGAGACAGCTCAAGGGCAATTAGCAGGATGTTAGCCACGGTCACAACATAGAACTGCCAAAAAGCTAAACAAAAGACAAGTCTAGGGCCAATTTCTGGCTGGGAAGAAGGTGAAAGCTGTGGGCAAAGAAACTCTTTCTTGTTCTGTGTAAGGAAGGAGAACTACCAAGTGCTTCTCCTGTGTTTTTTTCCTCCTAAGCAAAGTATTAAATCAACACTAATTCTGGCTAAATATTATCTCAAAAAAATCCCAAGCCTAACGCCCAATACTGCATATTTAAGCTCAAACAAATATAAGCATGTAAGAATACTTAAATACATAACAAACTCTCTTGCCAAGAAGGGAGGGAGTAATTAATTGATATTTTAGCTGGTAGCTGGGTCTCAGTTCTTGTTAACATTTCTCTCTCTTTCCTGTTTTAAAAGCAAGTTCTTTCTACTCAAATTCTTTCTGAACGAGAGATGAAAACTTATATTTGAGCATTTGCTACAGGGCAGAGAAACCTTAAAATTAAACTTTTTGGGAGCTACTTTCAGGAAACGGGTAGCAGATTTCAGCAACTGGTGCAAAATGATAGAATAGCAATTTTCCTTCACAAGCATACTGTAAGAAAGATGGAATGAGCCTTTGTGAGAACACAATTGATCATAAAGGTTTGACATCAACCCTTAGTAATTTACCTGCCAGAAGACTTACAGTGCAATTAGGAGCACAGTACTGTGGGATGTGTTTCCAGCCTATCCGAGTACTTTCACAGCTAATACAGTAGCCCTTCACTCTACTAGCTGCATTAAAATGCTGTGTCTTATTCTACACCACTGACAGCTGTATCAAATCTAAAAGAAACCAGCAATCACCTGTCACAACACCTTTCAGTGTAGCACACACTGATTACTAGGAACTCATTCATTAGCCCCACTTTGTCTGAAATTCTCCCTAATTGTGTACTTGCTGCTTTTCCATTCATGATAGACAGCAATTCTGATGGGAAGCTTAAAAATAAAATAGCTAAACACCACTTTTAATTCACTTTTTAATTAACATATTCCTGCTGTATAAACACACTGAACACTATCGCTGACTCTTACTGGATCTCACTTTCCGTTGGGAAGTGGCTTCTGTCCCAGCCACCAACCTGTGCCTCGGCCTGTCCTTCAACTCACAAGGGCTACCAAGCCACCCTGTGGTGGCCTTTGTTGGCATGATGGTAACTGTCTCTGACCCCAGGTACATGTTGTATTGGCAGGACACGCTGGAGCTGGCAGACTTGCCCCTGCAGAAGGGCTCTGTGGAGCTCCTCAAGCGAAGATGGGAGTCTGCCAATGCTGTGAGACCTGGCCTGATGCTCCAGTGCTCGTCAGCCCCAATGTCCCTCGTGCTGGATAAGATGAGCCGCAGCAGCACCAAGGAGAAAGTGCCAGCAGACAGCAGGAGGATAGACATGTTCAAGGAGGAGACTCCAGCTGGCCCTCAGCAGACTGAACACTTCCCCATTACTGTGGAGGAGCTGCGGAGCCACTTTGAGGCCCTGGGTGGCAAGAAGGTAAGTGTCTGGGCTGGGCATCTTGAGGGCATGGAGATGGACCCCAGGGCTGCAGGTTGGTTTTCCCTCACATCCCTCCTCTCTTGTGCCCCACTGGGGGTGGGCAGTACCCACCACTGCTCCCATGGATGTCCTGTTGATAATTTGGATCAGTATGCTAATACCTTCTTTATTCCATAAGGTTATTGATCTGGATCATTTTAATAGTTGCTGACTAGTGTATCTGCCAGCCTTTCAGGTAAGTTAGTGTGCAATTGTGCTTGCCCAGTGCTTTTGGAAGGGGAGTGGGGAAGAGAGAAAAACAAGATATTATGGGCTGGGTAATGAATGAAACTACTTACAAACACCCTAAAACTGTCTGAATGAAACTATTTACAAACACTCTAAAACTTTCTCAAGCAATTGCTTCTCATTTGTAGCACGGTGTTGACTCCCTTTCAACTGAGAAACCTGTCACTTCAGCCATAACACGACAGACCTGTCAGAAATGTCTGTGACTTCTTTAAACTACCTGGAGAGACAGTAGGGTTTTTTGAAGGTTAAAAAATGCTTCACAGAAGTTTAGGATACTGAAAATGTTATTAGTAATCTTCATTAGGGCAACTTCGTTTGGTTTTGCGGCTAAAAAGCCTTTCACCACACTTTACCTCTTCTGCATGAAAATAAAATGTCCCTGCAGGTTTTGATCACTGATGGAATACTTTATACCTTCCACATTGTAATTCCTCACTTCTTGTTCAGTCATCAGGTTAAAAAAACCCCAAACATAAATAAATAAAAAGTCCCCTTTGAATAATTTTTCCTCACTTCTCAATTGAAGATATACTAAAACTCGATGTTAAAACTCCGTGTTTTATCAACTACTAATTGCAGGATAACCCTGCCAGTCCATGTACTGAGACATTTACCCATTTAATTTTAATGCCCAGAGTATAAACATTTTTTGTTTAAATTGGTTTTCTGGTGAAGAAACTACAGTTCAGAATAATGCATGTTGACCATGACATAATAGCGGGATTTTGCACATAAATTATAAGATATTGGAAAGCTTTTTAATGTGAACAGTAAAATAAAAACTCATGTGATTCATGAAAAAAATCTTTTTATTAGCTTTAGACACATAACAAAAAAGTAGTAGGCACCAACAAAATAGGAGTTAAAAGTTTATGAGATTACTGAGCACTTCAAAGACCATATGAAATAGTCATAGACTGCTGCTAGGTGGCATACTCAAATGATTTTTAAGATGCAGACCTTTCTGGCTGATCTAACTTAGTAATTTTTTAATAATAGCAAAATAAACTTTATTTTCTATAAAGCAGTACTTTCTTTTAGCATTACAGTCATGATCATTCCTGAAGGAGGAATTGGTCCTTTTTTAATCTTATTGATACAAAGAGCTCCTTATTTAGTGAAAAGCAGTAATTTTTTGGATTTAAACAACATTCTTCACTTGTCAGGATTGCGGACCTTTATTAAACATTAATTACTGAGAAAGTAAAAGGACTCCTTACTCCCAGTCTTAGAACTGTTATACCAATTATATATTACTTTGGTTTAAATATACTTAAGGTTTCTTCATAAAATCTTCTACTGTTCTACCTGCAAATACTTTGAATTCATATGCAGCTTGGAGTCTCATCATCAGTATTATTATTTCACTGATATACTTCATAAAAAATGTTTCCAAGTATATATCTTTGCTAGGTGTTCTTCCTCCTAGTGGAAAGCTATCATTTCTAATACAAAAAGTTCAGTAAAAGGGTGGGAGGTGGGGGAAAGGGCCAAGGAGGAGTTACTTTCCTCTCCCTTATAATTTTTTTACCAAGAGTGCTGCATATGAAATATATTTGATTATGCTCTAGTTAAAATATTTCTTTTGCCCTGGCCAGCCAGAAAAGAAAAAAGAGGTGTGCTCTCCAAAGAGTTTGCTTTCTTGTTAAGTCACTGAAACTAATGCAGGAATTGCAACTGTTAAGATACAGTTTATAAGCAGATGGTGCTTTTAAACTGGGAAGTGGTAAAGGGTAAAAAAGCATGAGGAACAGGTCCCTTTTTCAGAATTCAAGTGGAAAAGTTTGAATTCTGTAACCATGTTCAGGTAGCTGTCTTAGAAAATGAGATCCATGTTGCCTTTGAGGATTTATTTTCCCAGCATTGTAAAACATCCTAAGGTTTCCCAGACACAGTCAATATGAAATGCAGAAAAATTGAATCTGCATCATAAAAGGCTTCCACAGTGTTAGCATTCCAACATTTTTTTCTTAAACATTTTTTCTTAAACATTTCAGTATTTATTTCAACATTTTTACTTAAAAAGAAAAATATGTGAGTCTACAAACACTGTTGACATCCATATCAGGGGTTGCTGACGCTGGATACTCGGGTCATTCACTTACAAATCTTAGCAACACAGACCAAAAGCACCACTGACAAGGTTTCAAAAAAACTCTGTAGTCACAGAAGGTCTGTGAAAGGATAGATTATTTCAGTAATCTGAAAAGTTGGAGCCAAACTGATGCTGGTGCTAACAATGGCATTAACATCTACTTCCGAGATCTTACAGCACAAAAAAACATGTGCAAATTACGAATTCCTACACTTGTAACAGTGAATAAGCATGAAAAAAAGAAATTGTGTGAGATAAATGTGATCCACAGCAATCTCAAGCTTTGCATATACAAAACCTGGACCTTTCTCCAGGCTTTATACATGCACACTGTGTCATATTCTAAATTAGTATCCTGAAGGTATTTAACAGAGCATATTAAGCATCTAGTGTGTATCTGATTAATGAGAAAGACTCTACATGTTAGAGGTGACAAAGTAATTTATTACTATTAATGAATGCTAAGCATTTTAGCAGTTGAATATTACACCATGAGACAAGATACTTGTCATGAAAAACAACAGCCATTTAGTATGTCTTTAGAAGACACATTTTTACCAGTTGTATCAGTGATACAAGAAAATACATGTATCGCAATATAATGCAAAGCTATGCCAAGGTTTTAGCAAACTGGTTGCTTAAGATTCAATTTCTTTCAGCCATAGTACACTCCCATGGGTAGGAGGAGTGAAGAATGGGGAATGAGCTGATGTATTTTCCTTGCGTTTTTTAGTGCTTTCACTCAGAAGCAATCAAGTTTAGAGCAAAGTTAGAAATGGCTATATGTAAAACTTAGTCAAAGCCATAGAAATTACAGTGGGATTTTTAAAATATAAACAGAATGTCTTCTAAGGCTCAGTACCAGCTATCTATATTACAGTTGCATTATGCATAAATGAACATGCTCATTACCCTTATGATCAGAAAAAGACTAACAACTGTTGTAATCCTGTTTAAATGTGGTGTCTCTTGACTTCTCAGACTTCTGAGACTACAGCCCATTTTATTACATTATTCCAAAGGAAAAACAGATTTTATTCTAAAAAGGCAAAATACCACTGACAAAAAAAATCTATAACCTCTCATTCGGGTTGCATTTCCATTGCAGTGCTGTTATTTGTATATGAACAAAATCAATAGAGAAAAATCAGGGCAATTAAAGAATGTTAACACATTAAGTGACTTCTAACCGATTAGATCAATCATATAAAGAAGAACCCTCTTCTGGCTCAAAAATGAAAGACACTACCATAGGTACCTGCAAATGTATTTAGACTTTTGGCATATTTTTCTTCCTGCTGGCAGCTAGGAAGAAAGCTATACCCAATCCTATTTATTTGAATGGAATTAACACTTCATATTGCAACAAGGTTAGACAAAAAAGAGTAAACAGAGTCAAGGACTGAGTTTAATAACTTTGAAGCTAAATCACTTGAAGTCAAATTACTTTTGCCTGCATTTATCTAAGTGGAACTTGGATGTATTTCCTTCTTAGGAGTATTAAGAAGTTCATTATTAACTCTGTTGCTGGAGCCTTTTATGGAAAGCCTAAAGTATCAGGCCTGTCCATATACCTTTCCATTATTTAGAAATAAACTGATGTCTTATTCTTATAAAATGAAAAGTATTTTCCCCTTCCCTATAGAAAAAAAAAGTTTCTTATGAATAATATATTGAAACATCAAATTACTGTACCAACTTATCATTCCCATCAAAAAACTACTTTAGTTTATTAGCACTCAAAGACATTGGAATGTTAAAGCAACTAAGGACTGTTTGCTGCAAAGTGATTATGTAAGTTTTTCAAGCATCCCAACTGAGAAAGTAATTTCATGCTTACTTTTTAGAGAAACCTATTCAAAGAACTCATTAAAACCATTCATTTAAATAATCTGGTATATGTTCATTAAAATGTGTCCTTTGCAAAAACATATGAACTGCAGCCAGAAAGTAAATGAAGGGAACTGATGCTTAATGTAAAAGATTAGACCTTTGTTAGAATTGTTTAAATAAGCAGCATCTTCTTTCTCTTAACACTCTCAAAAATATTTGTATGAATTCAGCAAAGCCATGTAATGCACAAAAGAACAGAAACAACATGACAACTGTGGGTCAGTTTTGTACCCTGTTATCACTTGGATCATTTGTATTTTTGTTATGGATGAATGAAAGCAAATAGTGAGGAATGCATAGAATGGCCAAAAGATTACCCTTGCTGAAAAGCTTGATATTGAAAGGAGTGTTGTATGGTCAGCCTTCTGGATTTTGGTTTCATACTTTTCTTAGCTCATTCTTTTCCTTTTTTTTCTTTTCTTGCCCCCCCCCCCCCTTTTTTTTTCTCCACACAAAGCATACCTCCCTATGTTTTCATAAACTTTTTTTCTAATGGCAAAAGATTCCACAACAAGGAAAGGCAACACTGTCCATGGAACTTGAATTGTAGATCACGAAGAACTGGTTTTGGTAACAATTCATTTTTTCTCCTATAAGGGGGGGGGGGGGGGAAACCCAAAACCTACCTTTTCTTCTGTGCTTTATTTTGTCAGTAAATATATCAGCTCTTTACAGATACCTTTCAAATCATCTGAAGAGACAATCCTCTTCCCACTTTGGTTATTCTTAGTTGACTCATCTTTGAACTGGACTGGTGGCTTTTCACTGGTTTTGCCTTTCTAAAAACTGAACACATTGGCAGATTTCTTACTGTTCTCTACAGTGTTTTATATCAGCAAAAAAAAGTGGTTTACACCAGCAAAAACAGATATTTCGATAGTGAGTATGGAGCTTTTGAAATCTCCTTTATTCACAAACCGTTCCCATGAACCATTGCAGTACAGTGTGTGTATATTATATACACATATGTACACATATATATATTTAAAGGTCTTCTGAAAAGTACTGCTGTTCCTTCCTATTTAATCAGTGAATTCCAGAAGTGTACCACCTGCAGTTCCTGAGTTGTTCTGAGCTATTCTCTGTGTTAGTTACACTGTTATAATTTCATTGCTTATATACCCAGAAACAACTATTTTCTTGAGAGTGTACCTGCCTTCCTCAAGGTGTCACACAAAACTGGCCTTGAAATTGGCACAAATGATTGACACTTGTGACGACTCAACATTTCAGACCTCCTCCACCATGCCCCTGTTACTTGGTTTTGTTAGTGGCCCACACCGCTAGTTTCCCTAGTTGCCCAATTATTAAATAACTATGCTTGTGCCAAACAACAAGTTATATTATTTTCCTCTAACAGACACTCGAGAATGTTCTTATTCTTCTGCCCTCAATTCAGCTTTACCAATTTTTGTGCTTTATTTGTGGACAGTGGAGAAAACAATCTCTAATAGAATCTTACCTTAAAAGAGTAGAATCATTCACTTTTCCTCACAGTCAGGAATGTTAGTATTCAAGCTACAGCAACAAGGAAGCTTGCTAGAAAAAACAGTACAACAGTTCAGTTGGAACACTGAAACGTGTGTCACCAGTTACTTATGAGAAATTAAATTTGGGTTTAGTCTCATTTATGTATTAAGTACCGCTGAGGAGGCTGCATTTTTATAAGGAGCAGGATGGGACGGACTATAGTCCTATACCCTCAACCAAACTTTCCAAAGGAAGTCTCTTGTGCTGAGATTTAATAGATATGGGGTTTGCTTCTCAATATTCTTCTTACTTACTGCTTATTCAGAATCCACGAGGATTCGTCGTGTATCGTGTTGTGGATGAGGGTGGCTTATTACAGGATTGTTTGCCATCAGACGATTACAATGATTTCAGGTGTGGGTCTTATTTTTGTCTGATTATTGTCTGAATCTATTCCTTATATTCTTTCTGATCCAGTCCTAAGAATGATTTCTTGCCTGCTTTTTTGGCTGTTATATTTTTGAAGAGGCACTTTTCATTTGTTCTGATGAGTTGAGTCTCTTGTGGAGTACAGTTAGCTAACAGAAAAAATTATTTTGACTTTCTTAGGAAGGCAGTCTAAAAATCTGAAATATATTTCTGGAACAGGGAAGCATTTAAAAGCAAGTATTTCAAAAACACAAAGTATGTTTTTCGCCACAGGATTAAGTCCATTTTGTTTTTTGTGTGTTGTTGAAGACAATCACAATTCCATTATTACATGGTAACATATATCCCTAAAAAGTTGCATATCTATACAGCAGTTTAACAAGTATTTGAAAGTCTAGAAAGCAAGAAAATGGCATAACCAAAGAGGCTTTTTAGTAACATGGGCTTCTGACATTTTTTCCAGGACTTCAGTCTGTATCAATGCAGATATGATGTTGTTTTGCCTTTAGTTCTTTCAGTAAAGACCACTGAAGTTAAAGAGAAATATTCTTCTATTTTGTGCTAACTGAAGTTCTGCAGCTGAGCCTGTAATTTGGAAATGGAGAAATTGAAGGAGAATTTCATTCACTTCTGGAAAACTGAAAGAACTAAGAGCATCAGGTTGGATTTTTCTTTCTGTCGTGGTTTAAACCCCGTCAGCAAGTTAGCCATGCAGTCTCTCTCTCATCCCCCCCACCCCCACTTCTTGCCCTCCCCCTGCTCCCAGAGGGATGGGGAGGAGAATCAAAAGAATGCAACTCCCACTGGCTGAGATAAGAGCAGTCCAGTAACTAAGGTGTAACACAAACCACTGCTGCTACCACCAATAATAATAATGATAAAGGAATAACAAGGGAAGAGAATACAGCCCCTCACCACCTGCCGATCTATAACTCGCCCCACCTCACCAAGAACTGACCGATACCTAGTCAAACCCCACAGTGGACTAGCCCTTCCAGGTAACTCCCAGTTACATCCTGGGCATGACGTGCTGTGGTATGGAATACCTCTTTGGTCTGTTTGGGTCAGGTGTCCTGTCTCTGCTTCCTCCCAGCTTCCCCTCCTCCCTGTCAGAGCATGAAGCTCACAAAGTCCTTGGTCACTCTAAACATTTAAGCAGTAACCAAAAACATCGGTGTTATCAGCTCTGTTCCCAGGCTGAAAGTCAAAACACAGCGCTGCACCAGCTACTAAGGAGAAAAAATGGCTGCTACTGCTGAACCCAGGACACGTTCAAAGGGCTAATATTGTAATATCAGGCTATTTGTACTAGTAGAAGTGTCTATGTATTTTTTATATGCAACATTGAAAATGGCACAGATGAAAGAACACCAAAGTGTATGAGAAATACCATGTGTCTCATTTTGCTCTCCCTCCCTGTTTTGGGGGAGGATTTAGGGAATGTGATTTTTCTATTTCTTTTGGGGTTTTTTGTTCCTTTTTGCAGTGCACTGTAAACTGGAATTGTTGCAGGAAGAAAGAAACTGACTAACCATCCTATGAACCTATACTTCATAGGTTTTAAGTCGTTAATTTTATTCTGAACAGACAGAAGATTTTATATTTTTGATATTTCTTTAGAGCCTGATTTGGCAGAAATTATCTTCCTTTAAATTCAAGATTATAGCAGACTCACTAGTCTTTGGCCTAAGTCTCCAGAAGGCAGAGAAAAGTAGAAAAGCTCTGACTTCTGCATGCAGATTCTCTCTCTAATTCTGACTGTGTGCCATTAAGCAAGCACACCAAGATAATGGAGAAATGAGGAAAATGACCTTCTGAGCTTCTGAGGAAAGGTACATACAAGCACCACCACACACACCCCAAAAAAGTCTTGAAAGGGTTCTTTAAAGACATGATTGCTTAGAAATTACCCAGAAATTAGGTGCAGGAATAATCTTTAACATTTTAAAATCCATAGAGATTAATAAAGTTAAAACATTATAACCTAGAGAGAAGTTGTATGTGATGTCCAACAGTTTTTGTAGTTTGATCTTGAGGGTGAAGAATTGTGCTTTCTGGGTCATCAAAAAAATCACCTCTTCTCTTTCCAGACGTATAAGCCAGTAAATACCTTGCTTTACCCAAGTCTATTTTGTTGTATGGTTTCCAACCTATTAGCCAGCAGCATCAAAGCTTGATAACCTCTGTAGGAAACTGACCATAAAGCACTTGAAAAAGCACAACTCCTTTCCACAGTCAGTGGCCAGAAAATGATGTCTGGAAAAGTACGTTTTATTTATAACATGTTCTTTAATTTCCTCTCCATATTTAGTTCAATTTTAGTTTGCCATATTTTATAGACAAACTTCTTATCCTAAGCAAAAAAATTCTCACGTATTTGTCACTTGTGACAGAAAGCAGCAAATCGTTAGAACATTTTCACTGTCATTTTGTCGACTGGTATTTGGAACAATTTACCAGCCTGAGGTATCTTAATCAATTCTTGAAGCATGAAAGTAAAGTGGAAAGATGGGAAGTAAATACACCCATTACGAGTATATCTTGGGAAACAGCACTTGGAGGGAAACATAATATCTGGGTTAAGTTGATTAGGAAGGAAATAAGCTTGTGACATAAAGTCTGAGAAATCCACAGGTGCTGGTATTCAGAGGAGAGCAGATCCATAAATTAAATGGGAGTGACATTACCTGCTGTTGCAGGGTACATTGTGTAACATGTCAAATGATTCAAGTTAACAATCAAATAAACACCTGCACCAAAGCATACTCACAATTACTATTTCAATAGCAAATAAAATTTCAACTTATTTTACAAATATGTAAAATAAAATCCCCAATACATCTACTTCTGTTATCTTTCCTCCAACCTGTATAATGTTTGTGGGGACAAACTGTTAACAATTCTGTTATTCTCTGATAGTGTCTAGTAGAGAAATAGGCTCACAATGCTTTCTGAAGTAGTTGTCATAAGGTTAAAATAAATGGGTCCAAAATAACCATACTTGGGAGTTTCGTGCTACTGTTCTGAATCTCAATGAAAGCAGGCAAATTCTTGGGTTTTCAGAGAAATATAGCATAGAATACTTTCCACCCTTTATCTGTCCAAGGCACAGGTAGAGTACCAGTATACTGGTAGATGCCAACATGGGCCATTAAAGTACAGGAGGTACAAACGATCTACTAAGTACAGCTTACTACATCAGCTGTCTTAATAGAAGACCTTTAGGGCCTTCAGAAGATCTTTCAGGTATCCTTTTCACAAAGCAATCTCTTATGTGCATTCCTGTTTGTGCTCCTTCAGCTCAGCATCCTCTCCTTTTATCAGCTGTACTTTTTGCTCTGCTGTCTCTTTCAAAAATGCCTGGTAAAGATGGGATGGTTTTTGTATGTTTGCTGCCTAGATTTAAAGGAACATGGCATGTTCTCTTAAAGCTGAGCAAACTCTAAGAATTCAGCATATGGGAAAGATAAATGAAAACAAAATACCACTGCCATATTTTAGCCTCGTTTGTTTTTTCTCTCTTCTGTGTCATGGTGTGATGATACATTTGTTTCAAATGTAAGACTTTGATTAATAAAATTGGAATAGTAGATGTTACTCAGGATTAGGCAGTTTGTAAACTCTGTACACCCAGGAGAGTTCAAGCAATGCACTGTCTCTGAAGCTGTTTATATGAATTCCTGTCACAGATAATAAATATCATTGCTGAACTATGGGTACAAGAAGGATCTTGTAATATCAGTTTTGAGGATCCCTCTATTTATGCCCACTGTCTCAGAGTCTCCATCATTCACCATAATTTATATATCATCTCAAATTCTCTGTAGCTATATCTCTTACATAGTCACCTCTTTATACACTCATTGTTGATCTTTCATTGTAGAGTATGTTTCATTTTCTCTTAGTTCTCATTTTCAAACATCAGCCCAGTATGTGATCAAAGAAAATGCTATCTCTTAAAAATATAGAATGCTGATAACACTTAATTTTACTGTCTTTTATAGGTAGTAATATGGGGGGGGAACTAATTTAAAAACATGCAATGAATATGGGATAAAAAAGCCTTTGCTTAAGATAATTAGTCATTCCAAACAAGCATTGGGGGGGAAAAAAAAAAAGAGAGAGAAGAAAAAGGCAGTGAGGTGAACACTGCAGACTTCACAAAAAATTCCCAGCATGTGTATTTCTAGTGCTGTGCAGAGCAAATGACTTAGATTAATTTGATGTGGCCTGTATTATTACTGAATAACTGAAAAAATATGGGTGCTTGAACACATAATGCTTACTGTATTTTTGGAAGCAATATAAGAGAGTATACCATATGTTTAAATTTTTTAAATTAGCTTATGTTTAATGGAAATAAACTCATTTAAGACTTTAAAATATGTCAACTAATTGGAGCTCTTACTAAGGCAGAGATTGTCTTTAGTTAAGCTAAGCCATTTTGCTCTTGACTGCAACAGAGGGATCTGCCTGAGTTGCATGAATAACTGAAGGAAAATGCTGCTTCTGTCCTGCTTCTAAAAGCAGTATCAGCATGTTCAATATTACTGGGAAATTATCAAATCTGAGAAACCAGGCAATACTTTGGAAGGAAACAAAAGTGGAGGGTCAAGCCAGAAGATTGCTGTATTTGAGTGTGTGCGGCTAAAATAGAGTGCCTAGTAAGACCTAGATAAATATTAGTCATTTTGAAAGTAATTTGCTTCCCCTCTCTGCTGATGATTTTGTTTCTGCTTTGTTATTTTTGTTTTCTGTTCCACACCCCAACATTCTTCTAATAGTTTCCAGCTATTTGAAATAATTACAAAAATCATGAAATTGCAAATGACTGTGGAAAATGACAACAGAAAGAATGTAAACGTCTGTAGCAATATGAGACACAAAATGATCACGTTAGAACACAATTCTTTCAAAATCATTATTTTGTTTTCCTTAAAGGTAGACATACATTGAGATATTTTAAGAACCTTAAAAGGTCTAAACTGATATACCTCTGAATCTAAGTACATTCAGCAACAGAGTGTGCAAAGAAAAGCATATGTTGTCAGTGAATTTACAAGAAACAAACAAAAAACCCAAGCACACCCAGGCTTTTATGAAACCCCAAATAAATGTTTTTCTTCTCCCATACCTGCAATTAACAGTAGCACTGATAAAATAATGGTTCTTAAATTTTCACTGTAAAGGTGAAAAATCTGAGATACACAAAATTACATCTCTAAATGTGCATTGTAACAGGGGGAAAAAAGATAATAAAGAACAAAAGCATAAACTTAGAGCTGACAACGGAATTTAGTATACAGCAGTGTTCATTTTACAATTGCAATGCAAAGAAGGCACCGAGTTTATTGTAGAAGCTTTAAATAAAACCTTATTGTGCTAAAAGAGAATGGGATTATTTATGGAAATGTTGGTGTTTTAATTCTGTGGTAAAACTTTTTTCCAATTACTTTGGAATTATTATATAAATAGAAAGGACACGTTATTGTGTTTGACTGAATTGTTTGGAATATGTATGTAAATAAAAAAGTGAAAAAAAACAAACCCTGAGGAGATAAAAAAGGAAAGCTACTGTTTAAGTATGCATACTTTGAATCTTAATTTGTGCCTCATATGTGGTAAGATAGCATTCTATGCTGCCGCAGGTCATGATTTTGGAAAAAGAACTCCAACATTAGTTGTAGTTACTAATGACATTGGTTTAAAAACCAGTTTCCATGACTTGAACCAAGCCTGAAAACTGTTGCCTGTGAATGCTGGCTACAAAGCTATGCTGCCTGCACCCTCTCCAGTCTTTATTGCAGTTCCTTCTAAAATATTTCCTATTAAACACAGCTGCCTCAGATCTGGACTCCTTATTTTGCATATTTTGGTGGTAAGGTATTGCCAGTGATTTATATAGACATCTAGAGGAACTTAGTATAAATGCTGCTTGATTTGTATGTGATTTTATTTCAAACTGCTTTAAAAAGCTGTAGCGAGATTTACTTCTACTGAGATATTTTTATTTTGGAATTTTCATAAATTTTATCCTGATTTATTATTTACAGATATTGTAGCTGGCCTACTTTATCGATGTTACTCAATCACTGTAGTATCACATGCTTGAAAGAAAGCTCACTAAAAAAAAAAAGTTTGGTCACTGTGGCCTCAGTTTCCTTAAGTGCTTCTAAAACATGCCACTATTTTGTCCTACAAAAAATGCAGTAGAGATGGACCATTGCACAGTATTGGTTTAGGAAGGAAAGTTTCTGTGGTTATTGTATGTCCTATAGTTGTCTATTTAATCCACTGGCCAGTAGTCAGTTTAGCACAGATAGTCATTATCATACTTTAAAAACTGTTATAACATTGCAAATCAACATCATACGATGAGCTAATGTAACTAACTGATAATCTTTCCATATGACAGAGTTTGAACAGCTCAATAATTTGATGTATGTCAAATGCTGTTAACAGTTAAAATAATTTCCCTTTTTAGCACAAAGATTAGGTTATTGTTTTTTTAAGTAGGAAGACCTGGAACCCTGTATCAATTTTGCTATGGTGATAAACAGCAAATCAGTGTGACTTTTGCTAAGTAAGAACGAAATCTGTAGGTATTTCAAAGCAGAATTCAGCTCCTCAATGTTTTTTCTTAGTGTAGAGCCCATGGTGTTGTGGTTTAACCCCATTCAGCAACTAAGCTCCACACAGTCTCTCCTCCCCTCAGTGGGATGGGGGAAGAGAATCAGAGGGATAAAAGTGAGAAAACTCATGGGTTGAGGTAAAGACAGTTTAATAGGTAAAGCAAAAGCCATGTGTACCAGCAAAGCAAAACAAGGAATTCATTCACTATTCCCCATGGTCAGGCAGGTGTTCACCCACAATGCATGGACTGTCAGTTGGGGTCAGCTGTCCCAGCTGTGCTCTCTCCCAACTTCTTGTGCACCCCCAGCCTGCTCACTGGTGGCACAGGGTGAGGAACAGACAAGGCCTGGACTCCATGGAAGCACTGCTCAGCTGTAACTAAAACATCCCTGCATTACCAACAATTTGTGTTTTCAGCACAAATCCAAAACATAGCCCCATACTAGCTACTATGAAGAAAATTAACTACGCCAGCCAAAACCAGAACAGATGGCAATTCTGCAAATAGATCTTCCATTTCCCCAGGTTGACAACAAGCTCATTTCAGGGCCTCTGTTCTGTGTTTACAGCAAGTTATTTCATACCCTTCTTCCAAAGGAAAATACTGTCTTATTTTAAAACTGTCTGTAACAGCTGAAAGGGATAAGCATCTCAGGAAATGGTCTGGGTATAAAATGAATAAGTGGGTTCCAGGCAGCCATAGGTTTTTTTAAAGCCTCTTGAGAAATTCTGTCTTAGTGAAGTGGTGCATTGCAGAGAGTCAACTGAGAATCATGGCTTTGTCTCAACAGTTTACTTACTGGCTTCATAGAGTTTACGCAGCAGGTGTTATTAGCAATCCTCTGTAACAGTCACTTTTGGAGGTTTGTCATCAATCTTAATGCCATCGGCATTCCAGCAGATGGTAGACATGATTCCATGCACTCCCCGCTTCTAAATTGCACCAGAATGGATTTCCACCATATTTTAATTAGAAATGAAAACTATATCAGAAACAGACTTCTCTGATGCTGGATTTCCAAAGGTTTTTCTCCAGGCAGGCCAGGACTCAATCTTTTACTTTTTTATATTTCACTGTTACTGAGTGATTCACAGGAGATATTATCAGCTCTCTCAGCACTAGAATTAACCTCAGATCATTCCTGCATACTCTCCAGCTAAGTAGCCTCTTGTTTTGAATTTTTTGAGATGCCAGCTTTTTGTAAGCAATAGAAAACGTTAGGAGCCTGTCCAGCAAAGCTCTTAGACATTAAGTATAACTTGAATTGCAATTGAGAGCAATTATTTGAATAGCAACCCTCAAGTATTTTAAGCTACAATCACAATAGAATGCAGTGATGGATTGAGATTTTATATAACTATTTTTAAAGCAACAGATTTGACTTCTAAACACTTATCTTACAGCTCAACTCATTCCCTAAATCACCATTCGCTTTTCCTTTCACCTTATGCTTTTACCCTTTCTCTTTGGGTCTACTCCTACTACTCTCTGTCATTTCTTACATATGGATTCTTTTTGTGGAGGCCATATATAAAATGAAAGTGTGGTGATAGCTAGCTTTCCTTTAGGTAGCACATGTAGCAAAAGTAGTAACAACATGATGGGATGGGGATAAGTGCATTTTTTTAATACATTTGAAGATGTCCTTAAAAAAAAAAAAGGTTAAATACTTGGAACATTAATAGTAGCTTTTGGCAACCTATTAATATACCGACTGTAAATTCCTCTTCCTACCCAAGGTAGTTCAGTGTATGCAGAAAAGGTAGCAGTAACTTGGTAAATAGTTTTCCTCTATTTAAAACTTCATGTGTTCTGGCTTACTGACTTTCAGATTAGTGCAGGACTGGATAGCAAGTGGAAAATCCACCATCTAAAAGAAGCACAGTCACTCAGTAGGCCACTGAAATTTGAATCTTTATCACTGGCATTTCTATAAGTAATCACAGTATATTCCTTAAAATTGGACACTTCAGTGCTTTATTCTTTACATTGTCTACAGTATGAGATCAGAACATATAAATAGATTCTTATGTCACCTCTTTCTGAGGAGTCCATTCAAAAATAGAATAATTCAGAGCCAGTACATAAAACTGAAGTAATCAAGATAGCAAGTTCCTTACCTATAGGCAAATTTCAACAAATTATGTCTAACAAAAAATAGAATAAATGCTGTTAAGTAGGGTGTTCCACACAACAGTCCATGTCTCAATTCAATAATTGCCCCAACAAGAACTCACATATGGTTACAAAAGCTTGACATGAATTGAACCCTGCATTAATCAGAAAGAAAAAACAATTATTCTTGTTTTAGTTTTCATTTGGCAACTTCTGCAAGTGTTGCATACATTAGCCTCTAATTAAGCACCTCTTGGCACTACCTCAGTGCTTTTTCGATAAGTGGCATTTATGTTAATTCTATCCTTATTAAGCAGATGTCTTTGCCATTCACTGTCATTAGGTTGTCTGGGTAGAAATCCCAATAAAACAGTATGCAAATTAAATTTATCCTGAGTAAAAGGAGTTTATGGTAATCATAACGCCTTCCAATGACTTTTTCACAGCAGGAAACAGCATCTTCAGAGAGTAAATCTGAGCTCTATCATTACAGCTGGTGTGATAGTGCAAGAAAATCATCCTTCAGAAGCCCCACTAAGACAGGGATACCATTTGCAAAATAAGGCTGGGGCAGTTGAAGACTGTCATGTGGGGGACCCTGTGATAATGAAAAAGGCAGGAACAGGAGAAGATGTATGGACAGAGAATTGGTTTGTTTGAAGGAAAAAGTTCTGGACAGTGCTAAGCATACAGTTCCTCTGCCCCAGAGTATAATCCCTGTCAAAACAGCACCATCCTTACAGAGACCATTAAATGGACCATTCGCCTATACAGTGATTCACCGTATCAAGGATTTAAAGAATATGGATTAGTTTGGAATGCTACGGTAAAAGATAATGAACTTATGGAGAACTTACTTAGAAAGAACTGAAAGAGAATTAACGTATTTAAAATTACAGATCCACTACAATGTGGGAAAATGTATTAGCAGTCCCCCAAAATGTCTGTATAATTATAAACTGTTATTCTTTTTTGGGTACACTATTACAGGTAGTAATACTAAGAAACCAAAAGACAAATTAACAAAGAGGTTTGGAACAACAAACACCAGTCTCAATCTACTTAATAGGAAGCTACAGTAAATTGCATTCAGTCACCTATAAAAAAAATTCATCACAAGACTAGGTTGACAAATTAATATCAAGGCATAAAATCTGAAAAGAGTATTCCTAGAATTACTAATTGACACTGCTTACCAAAATCTCCAAATTACAAAGTACCAAATAAAAACCCCACTGCAGTCTTGAAAAATGGGAATAATGCTTACTGCAAGACAAAACCTGAGACTTAGAGAAGTCTGCGGGCGGAAAAATCAAACCCTAAAGACAACAAACGGTAATATTTTATGTCAAAGCAATTTGTAACTATTATTCCAGATTTCCAGTTTTGACACATGCTTTTCTGAACACAGGAAAATAAACTGAATGAAAATGCCTTCTGCCTTAGTGGCAAGCATCTCAGAAATCTGTCCATAAAATAACTTACATGAAAAATCTCTTAAGTAGGGCCAATATTCCTGTAATTTATGTTAAAGGTTGACAAAAAAAGATTATTTTTAAAATTCCTACTAAGATATATTCCCAAAATAGTAATGTAGATAAATTTTCTAGTTCATGGAATTGCTACTGCAGAGATAAACGTAAGAAAAAAACAAAAAATAAAACAGAAATAGTCTACAATAAAATTAACAGAGGCAAGGAAAATGCAACTCAAACTCATATTGGTCCCTAGCTTGCAAGAATAAGAATAAGAAACAGTAAATTCTGAAGTTTTTTAGCTGTTACCCGTAACTACAGAAAAACACATCAGGAATAAAAAAAAAAAAAAACAAAACCCAAAACTAGATGAGTTCTTTCTTGAAGATGCCAACAGTAGCTGAAAACCCAGTAAAATTTGAGTTTTTCTTTTTTCTAATGCTGCAGAAGTTAGATCATCATTAAAGTGATTCTTGGTGTTGACTACTGAAAGCCACACAATGTTGTGGCAACATGATCCTGCGGCTGTTCTTATGCATGCCAGGTATTGGCTGGTTGCAGAACTGGAGGAGATGAATGATCAGGGTGACCTAACAAATGCTCAGTTGCATTTTTTTATTTCTCCTCTCCCTCCCGCATCCTTCATTTCTCCCCTGCATGGGCCATTTCTGCATTACAGAATCATAGAATAGTTAGGGTTGGAAAGGACCTTAAGATCATCAAGTTCCAACCCCCCTGCCATGGGCAGGGACACCTCACTCTAAGCCATATTACCCAGGGCCTCGTCCAACCTAGCCTTGAACACTGCCAGGGATGAATCATTACAGATAGTCCATAACAGATTTCAGACATAATGGTCTGTTTTAAATAAAAATTTCAACATTAATACTGGGTTGCAATTGTACCTGATAACCAACTCTGAACGAGGTTGTAAAACAAACAGCAGTCTGAAGCCATAGACCTTCCAATACAAAATACTCCATTCATTTCTGCCACCTGCTGCCTTCTAATACACTTGGCATGTATCTCATTCCTCTCAGCATACCCATGTTCTGGCCAAATTCTCTATCCTACCTGTGCTACAACTGCCTACCTGCACTGTCATGCCTGCACTGTAACCCAGCCTGGTCACAGAGCTTATCTTACTGGCACTGTGCCACCCTGCCATTTCTAAGTAGCATATACAGCCTGAAAGTACCCAGCAGGCTAGTGAGGAAGGGTACAAGGAAGTCTCATGAAGCAGGACAGCTGTTTTCCTCACTCCAGAAATCTTTCTTTTGCTATTATTACCCTGCAAAAATACTTTCCATAATAGCAAAGTAAAATATGCTTCTAACTGTAAAAACAATTAGGGAATAATTCAGTTAGATTCACACCAATTACCTCCTGTAAACATGATAAATAAAAGTCAACAAACCGCACAGTATTGGTTAAGACCCCTTATATCACCTTTAAATGTAACCATGTTTAGGTTTTCCAGTGTGTTGAGTGTACCTCCTGGCCTATCTGCTAAAATTATCCACTATACTCAAGATTACCTTTCAAGTTCAATTTGATATAAGCAGTAGCAGCAGTGCTCTTTTCAGTGAGGGGAGGAGGAGGGAGGAAAGACTGATGTGACGTACATAGCTGATGATTGGTGATACCACAGGTACTTTTGCTGAAAAAAATGGGTTTACAATACCCATGGTAATAAAACACCTTCAGCTTCTATGGTCTAATCAGTCATTTGTTTCAGTGCTGACATATCATGCAAAAATCTTTCAGCTAATCTCAAGCAAAAGCTACCATACCTCACAGAAGTAGACAGATTGTTATAAAATTACGAGTTTCCACAAGACATAACCTATTGTATATGCACAGGAAGGAATATTTTTGCAAAGAATGGCTACAGGTCAATAAATAAAGTACAGTAAATACTTAAGATAAAAGCTATCAGCAGCAATGAGAAAAGCAGAAATTTATTAAAGATGGGTGAAGCACAGTTGTCCTGGATTGGTAATGATGCACACATTTTAAAAGTACATTTCCAATGCTTGTTCACTGTTACTTTCAAGAAATTCAAGGTGAATGTATTAATTGATTATATGCCACTGTGAAAATGGCTTCTACAATTCATTGTAAGAGTTCTATTTGAGGATTGATTAAGTTGGATGACATTAATATTTTTTATTATTATTTTTAAATAGTTACTGGAAAATATTGTCCAGTATAAGACAATAAATTCAGAAGTCAAATTTTCTTGCCTCTTACACACCATGTGTAATATCTAAATGTAAAAGCATTTAGGAGCTACTTCAGTAAAATCATATACAAGGGTAGCATCAAATTAGTATACAATAATAAAGCTGCCTGCAAACAATAAAAGGAATTAGGCTAGCGAAGGCAGTACATTTTGTAAACCCCTGCCATTTAAGCAATAAAGGGCTCTGGCAAATAAGTTCCACAAAATCTTTGCTGGAGAGATTAATGTAGTCACCAGACCAACCGCTTACCCACCTTTTTTTGCTATCACACCTCTTTTACAGCAACAGCAGATGTGGATCTGCTGTGAACCTTCCCTACCACCCTTGGGGTGGGGGGGGAGTATATTTTTGCTACTCCAGCTGTTTATTTACTTAACATTAAGAGCAAGCCTTTACAGTTGTTGTGTCCAAGTCCATACTGAGTAGTGCATTGGAGGGAAGGAGGGAGAAGCACCCCAGAAACACCAGCTTTAACACATTAAAGTCTTGCTTAGCAATAATTCACTCATTTTCTCTTGAAGGGCTGAGGCATTATGAGATACTAATGATGCCATGTAAACTCTCTAGGAACACTAACCTGCTATTCTGATAAGCTAAATTCAGTCAGTAGGTAACAACAGAATTGAAAACCAAATTTCTGAAGCAGAAACATCCAAGCACATCTGTTCTCAAGTAATCATTTGGTTTTATGTAGTCTTACATACTAGTAAATGAAATTAATAAAATTTCCTCTGTGAACTTTTCTATGTAAAAATAGTGTTTAAACAAGCAACTGCTGTCTTTCATTGCGATCCTTACAACCACCTCCACCCCTCTCTTGTGGAAGAAACCACATGCAAGAAATGGCAAAAGAATACTTCCAAGCATCACTGTCTGTTGAATGATAAGCCATGAATCCACAACCTGCAGTGCTACAGAAACTTACCTTAGCGCATTCTGGAGAATGTCTTCCCAGAAATAGCACCCCCTTCTAATCTGCTGCCTCTTCAACCTCTCTCCTCTCCCCAAAACCCACACCTGTTTCCTACCAAAAGCTTTTAACATGCATCCTCTTGATGTTTTCTAACAGGAAGCAGAAAATGAAAGAAGTTCACATTCACTAACATCAAAGAGTCAGCCTGGGAGCCATTCCACCAGTACTCCAAAGGAATCTAGTGTGAAAAGAGGGAGAGCAATCTTTGAAAAGATGTCATCAGAAAACGGCCTCAGCAACAGCTCTGAAGGTTAGTTAGCATTACCATGTTGATCTGATGTCTCACTGTAAGGCAATGGTCTCTAAACCTTTCTGATGCTGCACCACTATCATTAAAACATTTTTGAGTATATGTGTATATGTATTTATTCACAAACTCTACTAATACATTATGGCAACATACACAAAGAGATATTAAAAATACTAAACAGGGAGGATGGATGAAATGAAAAAAATCCTTTCAAGAATGTTTATTTACAAAAAATTGTTCTTGAACCCCAATGGATGGTCTTGCACAGCACCTGGCTTGATACATCCTAGTTTGGAGACCACTGCTTGACAGTATCAAAGAGCGTCTATACCTGCATTTTGATTTAACAGAGAAAGAACATGGATGATACAGATTTCTGACAGAAAATCGCTTACCAACTTGTGAGCATCTAGGACTTAACTTTATGTAAAACAATAGATAATGCAAATAGCATAAAGAGACTCGTCCACTCCGCCAATAAAATTAATAAGCCATCTACACAGTATCACCCACTATGACTCCACCCTTTTTTAAAATGAATATTTTAGCCTACATGTTTAGGAATTCCAGACTCCATCAGATCAAAGGCAAAAGAAAATTACAGTGCACAAGACTCTTTTTAGCTAACGCTCCTAAATTTTTTATGCTCCTTGTCCATATTAAACACATGATCTTTTATAGGTTTAACTTTCAGCCATTGGTTATCTTTTTTTTCCTTACCAAATTAAAGAGAATCTTCTTGGAAGGATGATTATATATCATAATCGTATCAGCCCATAACCTTCTCTTCCATCAACTAGATTCAGCTGTCATTCTTCATGTGGGAGTATTCTTCTGTGCCTCTTCTCTACATCTTCAAGTCTTTCAGATAACTTTTTCTAATATATAGCTGTAAGATCCTTTTTGTTTTGCTTCGCCTTTTAGACTCTCCTTTCAAAGCTGTCCTTTTTCCTAACAGGAGAATAGAATCCTCCATTCCATACCCACTTTGCCTCCGAGTCTAAATGGGGCACAGTATGTTTCAGAAGCATTTTTTGTCCACCAGGAATAATAAAGAATATGAACTATGTAAAAATGCACAGTCAACAATTCATGTCTCTTACAAATGAAGCTTTTTCTAAAAATGTGACAGACCCATAGGGGATAATGTTTTTTGATGCTCCTGTGAGAGCTATAATACCCCATTTTGCATTCAGAGACTCTTATGAGAAATAAATTCCCTATAGACTCATTTGACTGTTTGAAAGAACTGGTGAAAACTCTTAAACTTCTCATAGCTGAACTTAGGCACTGAAATCTGCAACTCTGCACTTGAATAAATATTCAGATCCTGAAAAATATAAGATAATGCTGATCCTCAGATTATTTCTCCCATCACCATAAGATCTGAGTTTTCTATAACCAGTGATAATATATGTCAGCTTGCTTCAATTTTTCAGCAAGAAACACTAGAGTGCTATGAAACTTTTTAGCTAAATGTTTCAATTATGACAAAAAACTTACTTTCTTAGAAGAGGTATCAAGCAACATTTACAGCAAGCTCTGTGTCTGAGTACCAATAATTTGTATTTCTCCCCTGTAAAGCAGTAAGGCAATGCTCATACTGCTGTTCAACCTATCCTGAAAACCTAGAGAAACTAGGACAAACCCATAAGGAATAACTACTGTAGTCATATCATTGTAAAAATATGTCAGAAAGACAGGATTCACCAGTCCTATCATGCACAGATTTGTCAAGCTCTATTTACTTTACAGAATTGATGGAACATATAGTTAATAAAATAATTAAATTCTCTGAAATAGATACTATTACATGAGTCCCACATGTCAAAAGCAAAAAGATTCTTGTTGGCACACCTCACCTTGGTAAACATAAGGCTCTTCTTACAGACTCTTTCATCAAAAGCACACATTCATCTCTGAACAAATCCAAAGATGTTACACCTTTAAAGGCATTTGAATGAGCAAAAGTGTAAAGCAAAAGGAGCAAAACAAATGAGTGAAAATTTAGATCATATAATCTCTCATATCAGCACAGAGTTTCACATTATGTTATAAACCAACTAGCTTCTAAAGAGTTTTAATGCTAACAAGAGAATAGTTTCCATTACCTTCACTCCCCAGGTGGCTAATAATATGCATCTATTAAAATGTTTTTTAAAACAGTCCATTAAATTCATTGGCCCCAAATCAGCAAGGAATTAAATCACATCTCTAGCTTTAAGCACAAGTATTCCTATTGCGCTTAATGAGACTATTCACATGCTTATGATGAGATGGAATCCAACAATCCCTTCTTGAATCAGAATAATACCAGGAAAGTTTTTTAAATCCTAAATATTCCTGAGAATTAAAGCAACCTTGAACACCTAAACAGCTAAACAATTTTACAGTGAACAGGCAGAAAGACCAGATATGCCTTGGAATTCTTCCCTCTTTGGTGAGGTTCTCCTTCCCTGGCACACTGTTCTGTCCCAGGTGAAGAGATAGCTTTTTGGAAAGTCTCTTCTGTGGCTACATTTCATAATGTTGAAGGGAAAGCGTAGGTATTTCAAAAGAAAAAGGGGATTTGTTTATCTGTATCTTTTCTGTTCTCACTGCCTTAGTATAACAACACAATACTCAAAAGTGAAACAACTAAGAAGAAATGTGACTGACCAAGCACATGTTTTTTGCAATGCATATTACAACATGTATTACTATTAGGCTTCCAGAACAAGGTGTTGACCCCTGAAAATGCTATACAAACCTCAGGCCCTAAAACTAGCCACCAAGTTTTATGCTATATCCATGGGTATAGCATAAAATCAGTCCTGGCTTTTTGCTTGCTCCAGGAAAGGACCAGTGGAGCTGGTCTCCACTGAGTGGTGTATTTCAGGAGGCTGGGAAATGGGTCTTTAAAAAACTATTAACAAACAAGCAAAAAATTCCTAGGAGAGGATTTTGAAGATTTTTTTTTTCTTTCTATAGAAAAGACCATTCTGTAAATGGTGTGGGTTTGTACTCAATGGTAGAAAAGGTAAACGCACTCTAGTATGTCCTTGGTGGTTTACACGCACATTATGAGACAGCCACACTATACAAAGAGAAGCTACTAATTTCCCAGCTAAATTATGGCAAGCAAGTTGATTTGCTTAATTTAATAAATCTGGGAATGATCAGAAAGATTAAAAATTATAATTTATAAGAAGTAAATATAAATGTCATTTCAAAAGAAAAAAAAAAAGGGCAGTGAAAAAAAGTCATGTGCTACAACCAAGTGACAGGGCACACTCAGGAAGACAACGTGTGAGCAGTGCCAGAATATACAAGAATACAAGTAAACTGCCAATGGCTAGCCGAAAGCACAGATCTGAAGTTACCTCTCCAATTTCTTTCCTGTTTGGGAATGGATTTTAAGGTTTTAGTTTGGGTACCTAGTGGCTTGAATTAACCACATGGAACAGGAGGACATGTCTACACTGTTTCTTCATTCTTTCGTTTTCCTCAACTTTGAGAAATTCCAACATATGTATCATGCTTGTGGGGGGACAGGGTGGGTTTTTTAAGATAATTTTGTTGAGCTACAGCCTGTTTCTGTAATTCCAGAAAATTAAAAAAAAAAAAAAAAACAAAAAAAACCCCACAAAAACCAACAAAATCCAAAACAAAAACAAAACCCAAAACACCAATGCAGGTTGCAACAGATTTATTCTGGCCTACTATATAAGGACAAGCAGAAATGTAGACAAACTTAGGGAAGATTAGGGTGCTCTGATATCTGCAACACAAGCACAAGGATTAAAAAATTAGATTCTCAGAGCTTTCCTAAAAATATACCTTCTTGAAGTCCTAAAATTCCCTCTCCTCCCAAAAACGGGAGTATACTGGTTACAGAAATCCAGTGTTATGCAATCCAATTTTGCATGCACTGCAGAAGAACTTCCAGCCTGTGGGATTATATGAAATCTTTTCTGCCTCTTATCACAAAGAAGAGGGATACTCACAACGTACTTCTCTGAAACAAGAAAGCAGGATTATCTTTATGCTAAATTTAAGGCACTTTTCTGGGTATACGGAATTCTTCAAATACAGTCATATGACTGTAGATAGCAGCACAAAAACTTCCTAATGCTAGTAACTCAGTGCTGCTTTTTCAGGAGTACTCTGAAGTGTTTTCTCCACATTCACTGTGACTGAATTGCAGACAATAGATAATTCAATAACGTTTACAAGCTGAGCTAAGGTTAAAAAGTAGGTAGCAATTTAGATAATTTTAAATACAGTTTTAGTAGTACTAAACCAACTAAAACATACTCTAATGCAGTATCAGCAAACAACTGAATTCTATGGATTCTCTTTTATGCAAATGAATACTAAAATGTACAAAGCTAATTAGAACATAATATATCCAAATATAACAGCTTATTTCTAGAACTTTTACAAAGACTTTTTATAGTATAAAATAATGCAAATGTAGCACTGCACTTTGTTATTTCCTCAAGAAATTTGCCTCGGTTTCAAAATCTTCACTACATTATGCTCTCCTGTACTCAGTAAGTTCTAAATTGAAAATAAGATAGAGTTGCTAAAAATTTTATAATAATTCTCCTTTCTACTACCTCTTTTCTTTCAATATTTGGAAAAAATTTACAGGTTTCCTTAGAAAATATGATGTCTGTTTGTATTTACAGTGGGTTCTCACAAACGTGTCAGAGGACTATTTAAAGAGAGTGCTTCCAGGGCTGATAACACACTGCTGGATGTCCAGGAAACTGTCTCCTTGAAAGAAAGAATGGCTATGTACAAGGCTGCTGTGTTTGAGATAGAGGGTAGCAACTCCTTTGCTCATGTAAGATGTCACCATTCCTTATCTTCTTAGGTGTGTTTGCCTTGCATAGTGACATATCCTATATTCTTTATGCAAGCCGACTGATGGAGATCAAAATTTAAAAACTAAATTACCAAAAAATCAGCTCAGCAAATGAATTGATGCATCAGTCTCTGTCCCCACTGAACGAGATTTTTCATGATATACACTTTTGGTCATTTGCAAAACTCCCTTTAATACTATGGAATGGCTGTTCTTTTTATTACACTGTTGCATTAACTGGATTGATTAGGACCATAGGTTTGCAACAGATTACCAACACAGTTATTCTTTCATCTTATAACAGCAAAACCCAGCAGTTTCAGCATTACTAAAAATATTACCAAATAACAAAATCATATTCAAAAGCACATTAAGTTTAGCCTTCTTGCTGTTCACACTAAAGAATTCAAAATTGCTGCATTTTGAAATAGCAGCTCGATGAGATAAGGTGTATGAGAAAGTATTGCTTTATAATACATTAACATAAAATTGGCATTATCTGAAAAAATATTTATTTAAAATCTTTTAAATGTGTCTTAGTCATCTCTCTACATATCTGTCAATAGGAATTAAGTATTTTACAGCAAAATTTAATATTAATACCAAGTTGAACATAAAGTATTTGGCTAGCAGAATTTATAATCTATTAAAATAGAGCAAGACCACTGCACATTTGATTATCAGTCAGGAATGTCTGAAAAGCAGGCCTTCAGATCTTAGCCAGGAAAATCTGCCCAGTTTCACATAAATACTAAGGAACAAAAGGTGTATTTTTACCATATCTTAAAATCCTACATAGAAGTTATAGACAAATCCCCTTGTATCAGAAAATGAAGGCCTGCTACAATGTTGGAATAACAATAGCCTTTATTTATACTAAATATTCTGCACATGGAAAAAAATAACTTTTTTCTTACTATAAAATAGGGCAGAGCAATTTCTGTAAATCAGAGAGCATAATAGGCAAAAGAAGGACTTCAGCTCAGCTCTCACCAGCTGGCATCTTTCTCAGTATACAACAATCACTATAGGATTCCCAGTCTTACCTGCACTTTGATTCTTGAAGGAAGTGGTCTGCAGTAGCTGAAGGGACCTTCTGGGTCCTTATACAGCCCAAAGCTACATGGTGAAAACAGCCACCAGTCACAATCAGAGTCCAGGTGTTTTCCAATAACTCAATCCCTGCCTGCTGCCTTCATTATTTCCTAATTGCCTGCATGTATTTGGAGTAGATTCCTGCAGTTCACCTGGCTGAGAAGAAACAGAAAAGAACTGTGCGAAGCCTGAGCCAACCTAACTGTGGAACACAGGAACTACTTCATTTGCAGTCTAGAACTCCTCCCAGTTTCTTGATGAAATGGATGGTTACTTGAGAAAGGAACTGTATATCTGGTCAAGGGAATTACTACATTTCCTTGAAGGTCCCATAACTGCATTTAACCCTTCTGAAGTTCTCCAAAGGGCTGGCAAGGTGTGCCTGGAATGCTCATTTACTAAAATAACTACTTTTCACATTCATATATCCATGCACACATGGAACTGTGCCATTTTTGTCATGGGAAAAAAAATATCCATTTTTTATAATCTGCTTACTTACTCATCAGGGGTAAGCACTAACCCTAACTTTACTTCATAACCTTACTCACAAGACTGTTTCTAATTATTGGGTGTTTTATTTTCTGCATACTGATTAATAAGCTCAAAAGCTGAAAGCTTAATTTTAGTACCATCTAAGAGGTAACACATAAGGGACACAACTAGAACAGGGAGCCTGAGGATAAGAGCACTCTTGCGACCTTCAGTACTGCTAGTGAAGAAAGATCATCTCACAAAGGCCTGCTTGAAACTCTCTGCATGCTCTTCAACAATACCTATGGAAAAACAGAATTTATGATTGTCTGAGTCATTCCTGTAAAGACAGATTACTACACGGTTGAAAATACATGGCTGACCCCTAAAACTTCAGAGGGAGCCACTGAGTCCTCAGACATTAGTTTAGGCAAGAGGAGTATGCAGTTACACCAGCAGGATCAACGTGACACAAGAGCATTTAGCAGCTAATAGATCACAAATATTATCACAAATATAAAATCAAATAGATGGCAAAATTCCAAAAGAACTTTATAATTTGCAGGTCCTAATTTTTGGCTGAGGAGTGAAAGTCAACCATTCAATAGTTAATGTTTACTGTATGTATGATTCGTATGTTGCTGAGAATGCCTGAAAAATAACTCTTACTATTGTGCCTATTCTGAATGCTAATGTTAATTTATCTGTCAATCCATTAGGTAGGGTTAACAGATTCACATCAGTGGAAGTTGCTTGTAAAAGGCTGGAGACACAGCCAAGTGTTTCCAAATTTTCCAGATGAAATTTAAAAGCATTATGTAGCATACTGTTTTTAACTACTTCTAAAAAGATATCAACTCATAGAAGTACATTCTTTGTGCAAATGGAAAACTTATTTTATCCCTCTAGACTTCAGAGAAAACCAAGTTCTGTACTGTGCCTGGTGGCCTGGCAGCAGTGAGGAAACAATTCGAGAAAGTGCGGACGATGTCTTCACGAAAGGCCTTTGTTCTGTACCAGCACAAAGCTGTACAGGTAACAACAGTATTTTTAATACTGACAAATAAGGTATGCTCTGCTAGATAGCTGGAGGAAAAAAATATGATTCTTTGCTTTACTAAATAGCTTTCATTATGACTAAGACAATATTTCCTTAATGCTCATACTCATAGAATTTAGTCTTTGCGATATACTACAGGAAACATAATTTTTTTATACGGATGAACACTCAATATAGGCAATACTAGATTTACAGCAAATAGATGAGTAAAGCAGATTACTACCAAACCAGTGTTTTATACTTAACCTTCTCTCTAAGACTGTAATTCATTTTCAAGTATCATGGTGATATTTTGCATTTATTGCGCTTGATGTGATGTTAAGCTATTCTCTTTCGAAAGGAGTTTCCTGCTTCCATTGAATCAAATCTAATAAGCTCCCCTAAAAAGATCAAAAATTGCTCAGAACCACCCAGATGCTACATAGAAGTAGAACAAAGCAGCAGCTAAGTGTTATTTTTGATAAAAGGCCTTTACATTGTATTACTTCGTTAGCATGTGCCATGAAAAATTGTTGTAGGGGATAATGACTTTGGACTATGTGAAATCCTCTGCAATAAAACACATTGTACAACCTGTCCTGTGCACTCTGAAAAACAGTAATGGCACAGCAAAGTGTTTTACCATCCATTTAAGCAATATTGCTCTTCATCTTCATAGAACAGGACACATGAACATTCTGCCACAGGTTCATTTTCATGTTAAATGAGTATCATATCTACCCATCACCTCTCCTTACTTATACATTAATATCAGTATCAACAATCAGCACAGACAACAAGAAAAGCTCCAGTTTGTAGGGTAGAAGACACAGTTTGCTGCAGAAGTATTAAAGCATTTTTTACTAAACAAAAATGTCCCATAGTTGGACATAATCATACTGGAGGATACTGCTTGGTAGTGTCATACACATACTTCTCTGGTGCCAGGGTCCAACCTAGCTGCCATGTATCTGGATGAAGAAATGTAGAACCATATATAGCAATTATGTGCCTTTTTCTCTTACTCAGAATCAGGTAAGATGCATTTTCCCTTTCCTAACAGTGATGTCTAGTTCTCCACCAACCCATTATGATGGTTCCATTTCTTCAACCTCTAAGTATACTTATCCATGTATTTGTCCTAGGTGGCTATTTGAGGAGGCAAATCATCAGCAGAAAGTCACATTCACAGGAAATAAAATCACTCAGATTATATGGAATAATCTTTAAATTTAAGTTAAATAACTTACTGCAAGACCATAAAATCCCATTTCTATCTGACATAACTGCACTCTCATGGAAAATGGGATTATACACTTAGGTAGTTGAAAGATTACTCAAGGTCACTGAATCAATCCCAGGGCAAAACAGAGAAATCATGTAGTTTGAAGACAGGTCTCCAGATCTGGATAAATTCAAACTATTAATCTAAGCTAAAATAAGGAAGCATTATTTTTTTAAAACAGTTGTTTTTTCAGCAGCTGAACATTTTACTACATATTCAGTTACTGCAGGAGTGCCTAGTTCTTCATTCAAAATATTGGCATCATATATGCAAATAATAGCTATGTATCTTTCTATTTTTCTCTGGCAGCAGCTGTCACTCATAGGCTTCTTCACTGTAAGGGAGATTTGCTGCTTGTGAAAGGTGTCATATGACCAGTAGGAGGCACTAAGCTCTCCTCCAGAATGGTGAGCAGCAATGCAAACTGGTCACAGAATTTGCCATGTCTTCAACGGGGTTTGTTTAGACTCAATCAGGGTTTGTTTAGAGATCTGGTCTTTAATTTGACCACCTGGCACCATGAGCACCTTTTATTGTCAGCCACTAAGCTGAGAAGAGGTCACGAGCTTCAGTGACATTATTCTGCAAATGCCAGCCTGGAGAGGTTTGCTACACCACTTCAGCTAGCTAGCTGCTCAGTCTCACTATCCAGTGTCAGAAATGAGCCATTTCCTTCCACTGAGGGTCATTCCTGCAAACTTTGTAAGAATGCTAATGTAGCAACTGCCAATTTTCTAGCAATTGCAGAGCATACAACTGAATAACAGGACAATGTTAGTGAATGGTGAAAACCTTACCTTTTAATGAAAATCTTCCATATAGTGCCCCAAACACCCTTACTATATACGTAGAATTAAGCAAGGCTGACAAGTCATAGAGATGAAGTTCAGATAAGTGAGGTTCTAATGAGAAATTTCTGCAAGAATATCACAGTACTGATACACAGATGATACAGTGCTAAAAACATAAATAGGTAAAAAAGCATAGCTTAGAGGGAAACAAAGATTCACACCAAATACATCATTCTTCAGGTCAGTCATTCTGTTGTTACGAATTATGTAACTGCAGCTTTAAGCTCACAATTTACTTCTTATTGCTGCCTAAAGGGAACTGCAAACTTGTACATACTGACAATTTAGAACAGTAAATTCTAAATCTGCCAATACATAAGTGATATTGCATTAGCCAACTTCCCACAGAGCTTATATGACAACCACAATGTACAGTTCAACTAAAAGCTGTATGTTTCAAATGTGCGCAAGTAAAAGGCTTTCTTGTTCTTCGACAAGCTTTTGGGCCATATGATTCCCTTGAACAATACATACATACAGAGAATTGTATGCATATTTTATGTCCATATGCATATAAAAAGCATTCATAGTCTTAATCTCAAAGCTATTTTTAATTATTTTTTTTTTTAGGAAAAGTATGTTTTTGTTGTCAGAGCAGTTGGTCTAAGATACACAGAATAGTTACTGAAAATTCAAATCTGGGCACATTTTGCAATAAGAATTCTATCTAAATTATTGCAGAGCAGAGGCGCTAAAACTGATGTGTGAGCCTCTAAATGTATAAAATGCATGTAGCAATTACAGTTCTCTTCAGTACCAGAATCTAAATGCCTACATACAAATGTACTCTTCTAACAAAATGTATACAAACTTATTCCAGATCTATATCTTTCTTTTTTAAATAATATCATTTTAGGTTAGAATGACAACTTATTCAAATATGCAACAGGATATTATAGTCCTCTGTATTATGTACCACAAAGATATTCATGAGCAGGACAGCAGTCCCCATAAAGGGTGATGTCGTAGTTTAACCAATGCCAGACAGCCTGTCCACTCACTCCCCCCCTCCCCCCCCCCTTCTTGCCCTCCCCCTACTCCTGGAGGGACAGAGAGGAGAATCAAAAAGAATGCAACTCCCACGGGTTGAGATAAGAACAGTTTAGTAACTAAGGTATAACACAAATCACTACTGCTACCACCAATAATAGTAATGATAAAGGAAATAACAAGGGAAGAGAATACAACACCTCATCACCAGCCGACCGATAACTCGCCCCCCAGCCCGACCAAGCACCGACAGATACCTCCTCCAACCCTGCAGTCCACCTGCCCTTCCGGCTAACTCCCAGTTACCTCCTGGGCATGACGTGCTGTGGTATGGAATACCTCTTTGGTCAGTTTGGGTCAGGTGTCCTGTCACCTTCCTCCCAGCTTCCCCCCTCCCTGGCAGAGCATGAGGCCCACAAAGTCCTTGGCCAAACCAAAACATCATTGTTTTTCAGCTCTGTTCCCAGCTGAAAGTCAAAACACAGCACTGCACCAGCTACCAAGAAAGAGAAAAATGACTGCCACTGCTAAACCCAGGACAGGTGACTTGAAACAAATGGAAGAGAATGGATGGCAATAGAAGTCTGAAATAAAAAATAGAATGACTATAAGAAGTCATTCATGAGATAATACCAACAATCATCCAGCTGATGGTGATTTCTGAAACTCCCTTATGAGATGCCATAGAATAAAAAAAAAAAAAGTAATTTAAAGGGGATTCTTGGGAGAAGGGAAAAGCAACTGTAAAATGTTGTTTTTTCATTTCTGCCACCAAAAGTGATTTTGAGTTGTCTATCTGTCCTCCTGCCTTGCACAGCTGGAGGGGAGCTGTTTGCTTCTGACACTGGGATGCACATCTGGTTAATTAGATAACCTCACTTGATTAAATAACTTTGCTTGATTTAATAATGCACAGTACAGCAGGAATTGTATACGCCAAAGAAACAAGGGATCAAGTTCCCACAAGTACAACTCTTAACTAGTTTTAAATCTAGATCATGATCTTCAGCCACAGTCCTGTATTGGAGGCATGATTTATCCTACTTATTAAGAACAACCTTAGCCCATGCAGACCATCAAATAATTCTCCGAAATCTATGGGGTCTACAAAACATGCCACAAACTCTAATGGGGTAGACTACATTAATTCTATCTACAAGATATCCTACCCCACACCCAACAGCTGGCCATTACAGAGAAGAGATGAAACCACAGGTCTTCCTGCTCGACACTTGTTTGGAAAAATAAACACAATCAGCATTTTACCCTCTGTCACTGGAATTTCAATTAGCCATATCGACAGACACACAAAATACGAGAACCTCCAAGATTCATTTCATCCCTGCATGCCCAGAGCAAAGCTGTGTATTTATATTGCCAAAATCTGGCCCATAATGTTTAGGCTGAATTTCACTCAGCCATAGCTGTTGCACTAAACAATTATAATCTTTTGCAATATGGCAACTACTTCATAACCAATACCAAAGTTATAGCAATAAAGCAGTAGTGACATTCATATTAGATTTGCTTCCTGACTACATTAAGACTAATTATATTCCTTTTTAATACTCCACACCATCCAAAGGACACATAATGACTATCATGACCATATTTCGTGTCTCATGAATGAGCTTTTACAGTAATGACATCTTAACTTACATATCTAAAACATGTACATTAGAATAGAAAATCATCTCTTAAATGAAAAAAGCATATGTATGCATAAATATATAAAAAAGCATATCCATATAAAATGAAAAGGCATACTATACATAAATCAACACATAGGCATTAAACAGAGATGGAAAAATTTGCAATTCATTTTGTTTGAACTGCCTCTTTTCAACTTGGTGTAGGGTTAGCTTTACATTTCCTCCTGTTGTGCAGCTCCTCACAACTGTTACACATACAGAACTTGCGAGTGTAAACCATGCTCTGACTTGCTCTCTCCTCAAGCTTCACCTCACTTTAACAGTTGAAACTTTGCAGTCGATACAATTAATTTTGATCCTGGTATTAAATCATTTACAGGGTCAGGAATCAGAAAATTTATTTTACCTTTTCTTGGTATAATTTTAATGCAACTTATAGGTAAGACAGATAGATGGTTTGGCAGCACCAAGGTGAAACAGAATTCCTAAGGCCCACAAAGGGGATGGAAGTTGTTTTCCTGCCACAGAACCTAAGAGCCTTTGCTGCCTACTGTGTGGCAGAAATTACCAGTAAGGCAATGAATGCTCCAGTGTATTGATTCGGCAGAAATGTCAGTGAAGATTCAAGCAGTGTAAGCATTCCTTAGTTTGAAGGTGGAATAAATCCCATAAATACATGCTTTGCCATGGGATGACTAAGGGAGAGAGGTAATTTCTTGCCACACAATTAGCTGAATTTCAAGGAGGTGCCAGGAGTGGAGATGCAGGAAGCTTACTGATCTCTGTTGCACTAGATGTATAGTAGCAATCTTAGAAACACAATTTCACACTTGCATTACATCAAACACTTGGGAAGCTCTTGCTGGAGGTACAAGCTCCTTTCATTTGAAAGCTTGTTATAAGTAGAAACCAGTAGGCAAGCTTCCTTCTCACAAGGGAAGAAAATTCGACATGAGTGAAATTATTTGTTAGATGTCTCTGTGTGCATGCTAGTGTACAAGAGAAAGGAAGCACACAACTGCTGTCTTGATAACATCAATCTTTAGGATTTATTTCTTCTAATCACTAAATTTCAAAGTACTACATGAACACAGATAATGTGATGTAACACGAGTTCTATGACAGGTTTTAAATAAGAAAACAAATCACTGCCAGAGCCTGGAGTTGAACTAAGCATAAGATAACCTCAGAAATCAGTTTAAACAGACATCTTGGACAGTGCTTTAAACTCTCAACAATATGTTCTCTTTATTACACTGCTGTTGTCAGACTCGTAGATACAATGCCAGCCTGTATATCTTATAGGATGTTCTAGTTAGCCTGTGGGTCACATTTTTCACAACTGCAATTCAGCAAGATTTTTGCCTCAGAAGAGCTGTATAAGGCATATGCGGGAAGTCAGCAACCCTTATTACACTTCCTTTTACAAAGTTGTATTAGCCTTCTGACTGATGATAGGTAACAAGCTGATAGCAGAACACATAAAACTGGAAGCAGTAGTCCTAGTCACCTTCATCCCCTTCCAGACTAATGATACAGTGTGATTATTCATGCAGCTTTCTGTATCTGCTGGCTAAAGTCTATCTGCAGTAATGGAAATTGAGGTCTTCTGTGTTCTAAAAAAGTCTGTTCCAACTTTTATGGTAACAAATATCAATTTGCTGTAAAATAACTGTTCTAGTTATACCATTTAAATTTAATTTATTTGTGAAAACCCTTCATAGGCAAAAAACTAACAAAAAAAAGAAAATAAAATTCTAATTTACTATTAGCTATTAACGTGCAATTATTTTTGTCTTTAGGAAAAGTTAAGTAGGAGTCAAAATACCATATCAAGGAGCATGAGGGAAGCTGAGTGCAATGAAATGACCTCCAAAGAAAGTCAAATGGAAGCCTCTCAAACACAAGAGGTAATTATATCAATTAATAATCAACTCATTGAACAATTATATTGCTGCTGATACATATCTGCTTTGCCTCTTCCACCTTTACCACTTGGTGCAGCAAGATCTGAATGTTCTGTTGATAGCCTCACTCCTTAGGCAGTGCATAAGTTTTTAAAGGTGTTTTATTAAGTGGTTTTAATTTATTATTGTTTTAATATGGTAGTTAATTAGGTTTCCATTCCTGTTTTTCTTTATTGGAACATTTTATATACATATATTTTAAATATTGAGTATGTAAAATTTTTGCATATTTCAATAAACCCTGTACTAAAGTGAAGATTTTGTGTACAGGTTTCTCATCGCAAGCAAGTTACTCAAGAGACAAAAATGGCTTCCACATTCAGTCAGAATACTGATGAAACAGGTAAGAAGTGGCAGGACAATAAAGGCTCACAAGTGAGCAATGGCAAATGCCTTTACTCACATAGATGTGCTGCTCTTAGCACACAAACATGAAAATGCACATTGCTCTGAATTCTCTGCAAAGCACATTAATTTCCTTCAATGAGACTTAAGAAATTAGTTTAGAATTTGGGACAGAGATGGCTTTTGCATAAGGAGGTGGCTTAACATATGCATTTAGTTTCCTGGAAAAAATGGAGACTTGAAGAATTGTCTGAAAACATAGGCAAACACTAGCCCATGTATATATAGAACTGTAGATAAGAAAGGTTTGATTTATAGCTGAACTGAATATCCCTGCAGAATATGACCAGAGTGTTAAGACACTGCTGCTCCTGCAGTTTAATCCTAGTATTGGAATTCACACGTTATATTTCCCCCATAGACCTGTCAACCTTTAGCCCTGTCACTCCACTCAGGTATGGCAAAACAGCAGGTGATAGATAACATGTCCCTCAACAACTATTCTGTCACTTTCTCAATGGATTTCTGTTCACAATCAAGAAATTCTCTAGACTTCTGCAAGGCTACGTGTAATTTTTCTAAGGTAACGATGTTTTAAAATTCACTGATAAAGTCAATTTCATAAAACGCAGGGTGCATGAAAAATGATCTTTTTTATTATTCTTCCCATTGCAGTAATCAATGCAGCTCAGAACGAAGAGCTCCCAAAGACTGTAACACAGATATTAAAACAGCAGGTTGAAAGGACAGTTCAGGAAACGGCTGTTCATGCTGACAGAGAGGCTGCAACACCTGCAAAAGAAGTAAAGGTCTGTGTTTTTAATAAGAGGGATTTTTCTTTATGCAAATTAGAAAGGATGAAATTAAGACATTGGTCTGCCAAGCAGTCTGAATTTCCATTTTACTGTGATTAAAAATGTAACCTATGAAAGTGGTGGGAATATATGGACATTAGAAATTAAGTGCATGTAATATGAAATATGCTGAAAGCTCAACAAGTACTCACAGCATGTGACAGACAAAATAAGTAGACCTTTATAAAAACTTCTGCATTCCTGTCCTCCTCTGCGGAATACAGTCTCTTACTTTCTTGTTTTGAATTTGTAAATATGTATAATTTCTGTCACCACAGATTCCAAGAAGCATAGAAAATCTCACTTTCAGAAGAAACGAACATGAGCATAAGCCACGCATAACTTTACATTATGCTTATAATGCAGTCTTCATTTGTTCATTTTGATGATTGAAAGTGTTCAATCATCATTTTGCATTTTGTAAGAATTTTACATTTCTTTTCACTGTGCAAATAGTGCAGCTTTTATTTCAAAAGGTCTGTTTTAAGCATTCTGAGCATTAGCTGATGCATTGTGTCTTTCCAGATCTTACTATAAGCCTATTGCTTGGATGCCTGCAGAACTAGCTTTCAACAAGAATAAAAATAAATAAAAAAATAGTTTTATATGTAACGTAACTTTAAAAAAAAACAAACAACCCCTTTTGTTCACGAAAGATGGAAAATATGTACCAGGAAATTACATTGCCTTCAACAGTTAGTTCATCACCCACCTACTGCTACTACTTCAGCAAGCAGGCTACAGGAAACTTCTGCACTGAGGTAAAAAAAAGGATGGAACTGCTACTTCTGCAATTATTTGCTCCAGATCTCATGAATATGGAAGCACAGAAAAGTTTTCCACTTAAAAAGTGCCATTGGAAATGACACAACTTCCCAGTCCACTGAATCATCCATCTCTCCAATGAAGCACGCAGTTTCCATAGATCTGTATCTAAAGCAAAGCAATTTATGTGAACTAACATGTTTATATAAATGTACAAGTAAGAAAACACTTAGAGAAACATTACCTAAGACTCCTAATATTGTATCTGGTGAATCTGAAACACAGAGTATGATGTCAGAAGTGCAGCAGGCTACATATAGCCTTGCCTTCATTATTCAGATGTTCACAAGACCAGAAAAAAAATGCTTAGAGTGGTTTGAAATCTGGAGAGGAGAGGTCCTCTCTGTAAGATGGGTCTTTGAGGACCAGCCTTTCTTTTCAATTAAAGATGATCCTCCAGACCCAGACAGAGCTAGAAGCATTGCAGACCAGAAAAACATTTCAGGCAGAAATACTAAATACATAGCCAGTCTCTTGCACTGCATGTACATGCTCCCAGCTGTGCAGGAGGTATGGACAAGGCTTTTGCATTAGTTAGAGAAGGTGTCCACACAGTCACTTGGATGTTTGAAATGCAGCCACTGGACCCTATGAATAAGAACTATCACAATGAGGAATATCAGATGAAACTCTTATCCAGAAAGTTCCTAGTGGTGCTGTAAAGAGTCTGAGGTATGTGCTGGAAGCACAGAACCTAGATAAACTTGAACAGCTTAATCCACTGGATTTCCTTAACTTGTTGCAGCTGAGGTCTGAGCTGTAATAGCTTAAAGGAAGTGTAAAGAGATGCATAAAATATTTTGAACCTCAGCCCCTGTCTGTTACCAAAGACAACTTCAGCCAAAAACTGGAGAATGAAGCTGTCCACAGAGAAGACAGTGAAAAGGGGCATGTCAGAGTAGTAGACCACACATTTAAAAAGCAGCCTTTACTTGTGACCAATAAAGACCTGTTTATCTTTAAAGTGGTACATGGAATCTGAGTGGATGAAAAAACATGAGCAGTGATGGGCACGAGGCAAACAGTTAATTGAAACACAATCTTGGCACACAGAGAATTCAGACAAATTAAGTACAGCTGAAACTTCATCACAAAAATCAAAGCAAGATCAAGATCCCATACAAGAAGCAGCAGCCCCTGTAATACCACAGCAAAGTACACTTGCTGATTCTAAATTTGATGGCAAGAATTCTCAAGTAGTACAAAAATACGATGTAGGAATTCACATCGATCTCCATAAAGACAAGAAGGCTGAGCAGCTTAACGGAACTGCAGGAAGATGCAGGAACTGTTGTGAAAGCTTCTAGCTGCTATCTCTTCCACCATTATGAGGATTAATGCTATAAGACCTATCCTGAAGAATTATATAGAGCAAAATAAAAACAAAAATATATTAAAAATGGGTATTAAAATTAAAATACCATTACTGTTGTATTTGAGAAATACCAGCATGCTAGGAAATGTGCACAGAATGCACCTGACTTCTCATGCTTAAAATCAATGCAACACCTTCTTAACTGAAGTAAGACATTGCCTGTATAAAATAGCTCTAGAGATAAAATAATGGTCATGTTTTGTGCACATCTGTTTTCAGTTTATTAAAGCACAAGATGTGACTTAAGACAAAGGAAACTACATTTCACTGAGTCTCCTGTTTGAGAAAAATTACTGCAAGAGTTTCCAAATTAACATAAAAATTTGCCTGCTATTCCCTGCTGAGCACTTTTACCAGTTGACACAGCCGTAGCCTGAATTAAGGGCAAACCCATCTACCATCAGAGTAGGTACAATAAGAAGTGTAGCCACCCAGTGTCCCTCAGAAAGCTGAGCTACATTTGAGGCTATTTTATAATTAACAGTTCTTTGGGGGATTTTTTTGTTGTTGTTGTTGTTGTTTTTACTGGTGGTTTATTCTTATTGCAAATTTGGCATTATTTTGGAGATACTTAATTTTCAGCATTTTTCACAGCTCCATTATGGCACTAGAGATACTTTGCAACTAAAGCTGTACTTACAAAATCTACATAACTTTCTGTCCTGATTTGTGAATTGCTATAAAATCAATACCAGCAGGCAAACCAAAATCAGACAGAATGCTGAAAAGGGCCAAATTTTCTGCTGCTGTAGAGGGCCATTACTATTGTTAATGAAGATATATTTATACAAACAATTATTTGATACACTGTATTTGTATTTGTCTGCTAGTACAGTTCTTACAGCAATATGTGAATTGAAACTGAAAAGCCACATGCATTTTTGCAAGCCTAACAGATTATCCATTATTTCTTTCTGTCCCTTATTGGTATGAAATAAAACCTCTATTCATGCTTTCTTCTTTACAAGGAGCTGGTTTCTTTTATAATTAATTATACTTCATAAAAGAAAGGATTTGATAGAGTTGGCTAATATGATTGTAGCTAACTCAGCCTTAAAAATTAACTGAAGGAAGTATTAGCGCTGAAAATTAAAACTATAAAAGTCACAAATAACTATGTCCATAGAATATCTGGGCCATATGAGTGTACAGTCTGCAGATTACCACAGAAGTAGAACTCCCTCATATGTTTTTGGCATGATCAAGCAAAACTTCATCAGAATTTCAAACATTTGCCCTGTTTATTGATCTCTGAATCACGTTATAGATTCAAAGATTATACATATACTCAATTCCACTTATATGAGTAAACCTTTTATCATCCTATCTCATTTCACAAAATAAATAGTTATTAAAAATAAATGGAAATACTGTACCTGGTGTAGTGAAGTGAATAGTCTTTCCAAATGTATGGATTTCTGAAAAGGGAAAGTTGAGTAGTATTTCCACTTTCAAAGAATTATTGTTAGTTGAACAAAAAATGAAGCCCTAAAATTGACAGCTGAGATACCAGTTAATGCATAAAGAAAACTACAGTTTTAACAAAACATACCAAATGATACAGTTAAAAATAAATCCTAATAATGCAGCTTAAACTAACTCATACTTTTTAATACGTGGTTCTAGAAACTGCAGATTCAGGAGTACGAAACGTGCAGACTCTGTCAACAGAGAGTTTACCCAATGGAGTGCCTAGTTGCTGACAAGCAGAATTTTCATAAATCATGTTTCCGATGTCACCACTGCAGCAGTCAGTTAAGGTAAGAATTAACTGTGTGTTTGCTCATAGAACTCTGCATCTGAATGTAAATGCAGCCGGTGAAATTGTTTTCAATTAGGCTATTCAGCCTGTAGGATGTTGGGTCGACAGGCAGGAAACCTGGGTTCCCCCTTTTCTGCTACTGACACCTGAACCATTATTAACCAAAGGCCTTTAAATTCTCTAAAGAACAGCTTCATCCCACTACCTTCCAAATTCTTCTGCATATTGTTTCCTACTGACTACTCCAGACCTTAAGGACAGCTCCCGAACCAGAAGCAGTAGACAAAGAAACTTGGGTGGAATTTAAAGCATGTCAACACAGACCAAATTTCCTCTTACTTTTCTTCCCCCATAAATGAATGATGATGATTCTCTGCATTAGCAAACCACTCTTTTAACCTTTATACGAAATGCAGTAGTTATCTAACAGTCAAATAGGCTAACAGACTGCTTAGGCTAACAGTTCTGACTTTAACACCTTGGAGATTAGCTACATACATTTCCCCTACTTCATTCAGGAGCAGAATCAAAATATAATTAAATAAAAATTTCTATAATTTGCACAAAGGTTACAGAAAATTGGCACTGTACTTTCTCCACCTATTTTGTAGAAAAATAGATAATTCAGTCTTTAATAGGATGAAGAAAAAGGTCCCAGCAACCCCAAAGTGCTGTGGAATTTTGCTATTTGAAGCTTATGCTATGCAACAACTGAATAGATTTATGTTCTTTCTAAAATCACAAAGCATGATCCTTCTCCATCATTTTGACTTTGAAATTGTATGGGAATTTGCATTAGTTTTAGATACTTTTGTTTGGGGGTACACGGTGGTCAGAATTGGCCAGTACACTGAATTTCCTCTCTTTTCGCTCTTCCTTTTCTTTATATGTACTGTCATGTAGGGGTACTTGAAATACCAAGTAAAGTTTAAAATTCACAGTAGATTTATGATATGTAAAAGTGTAAAACAAATTTCCTTCCATTCGGCAGCTTGGGAAATTATGCATCTCTCCATGGGAAAATATACTGTAAACCCCATTTTAAGCAACTTTTCAAGTCAAAAGGAAATTATGATGAAGGCTTTGGACACAAGCAGCATAAAGAATTATGGAATTCTAAAGACCGATGTAGCTCAGCTGTCAATACTCATGCTGAAGAAACAAATCCCATTAGTAGTATACCTGTTGATCCTAAACCAATTACAGACATTGATCAAGACTTGTACTCAGGTACTGATGTTTCACTACCTGATACTTTGGATAATAATTTGAAAAGACCCACAGAAAGAGGTAAACTAAAGCTGACATGGCCTCCTTCAACAGATGAGGTAACACCTAAGAAAACATTTTCTATTGAAGAAGTGCCTAAAGTAAATAAGCCGAAGTGGCCCCCCCAAGGTTGTGCTCAAGAAGGTTCTAATTTAAATACATATAAACCTCTGGGCAATAAAAAGGATCCTCAGAAAGAAAATGCGGTGAGCAAGCAAAATAAAAATAACACCGCAAATGCCCAACAAAATCAACACTCATCCTTCAGTGCTCTGTCTGAAAAAGAAGCTACAAATACCTCTAAAGCAAAGAAAAATGAAGCAGGCAATAAGGGAAAAGAGGAGGAAGCTGGGAATGTGAAAGATAAGTGGAATACAACAGGAGGATCACAGAATATGGAGGAAAGTGGGAAGGATTTCAATGGAAGTGATAAAGTGATTGTTCATGCTGCTGGGAAGGAGCAAGAGCAAAAAATAAATGATAGTTTAGAAGTTGTACAGGTTACTAACATTGATGATGTAACAGTACAAAAGAATCACAAAGAATTCAGCTTAAATAACAATAACAATTATGCCACTTTTTCGCACCTAAACGTTTTAGGCAAGAAACAACTCTCTCAGCTACAGCTAACCCAATGACAGCATTAAGCATACAATTTGCACTGTATCACAGCACGCCTTTGCAAAGCTGGAAAATCAGTCTGGAAATGAAGAAATATTTGAGATCTATGAATCTCATGAGAGCTATTGTAGCAATACTGTAACTGTTTCACAGGATGAACAAAACTCAAAAGATGAAGATGCTGTTACCTCTAATAATCTTGCTCAATTTAATAAAGATGCCACTTGTCAGAAGTCTCATATTAGTAGAATATTAAAGGAGGCAACTAATACAACATTGCCTGTTGATATGGAGTTGGCATGCATTGGAGAAGAATCAAAATATGACAAAAACTTAAACACTATTTTTTTATTTGACACTCTGAAAACATCTTTTCTTTAAAAAAGGCCCAACAACCTGGATTTAGACTGTGGTTGAATACACTCTGTAGATACAACTGAAGTTCCTGCAGCCCATATTCAAAAGAACATGGGAATTATGCTACAGAACTGAATGATATTAATGCCTGTCAAGAAAGTGAAATAATCAAATTGTCAAAGAATGACATAAACACGAGCTTAGATTTACTGAGCTCAAGATACACAGCTGTTCCATCATTCCAAGGTGAGAAATTCAAGTTCAAACAGCTCACTGTAGAAGAACAAATTAAAAGTAAAATAGATTCTATGACAAAAATGAATAAAACAGCTAAGTGATCAGCTACATCTGTCACTCATTATAAAGTGAGTCATAAATAAGTATTTCTCCTGTTATTTTAGTCCTTCTTGAGAAATTTAATATCCATATGAAAATTTTTATGATATACTGTCAATTACTCAGACTTTACTTGCTTAGTTTATATTTAAGGCAATGAAGATGTATAAAACAGATTTTTTTCAGTCTGTAATTAAAACAACTTGTCTCTCATCACAAGACATATTTTAAACAGCACAAGAAATATTTTACTACATGACTGTCCTGCAGAAGCATAATCATTCAGTTTTACTGTTCATCATTTGTAACAAACTGAGATGTGAATCACCTACTCGTGTGCACAGAAAAAGAAAAAAACATTTCCATAGTTGTTTTCTTATGTATTGTTATTATTGTAACTGAGCTGTTGCTTCATGATGTATTATGTACTTTTGTTGTGTTAGCTCATACTACAAGATTTGGGGTTTGGTTGGGTTTTGGGGGAGTTTCTTGCTTTGGTTTTTGTTTGATTTTTTCTTCAATGACATGCAGAACTTAGTTTAAAATGGACTCGCTGTTGAAAAGTAACTGCAAGTGATTGGTGAATAGTACTGTTATGCTCTATTCCTAGAGCTGCTAATATGGCATTATATTGTATGACAGGGAATAAAAAAAACAAACAAACCAAAAAGAAGTGTGTAAATTTTAACACAGGATAAACCCAAATATCCAAGGCAGAACTGGAACAAAGTTTGGGAACACTGGGCAATTGAGACTAGTGGTTGTTTTGAAAACTAATTCAAAGTCATTTTAACTGAAGCAGCTCTCCAGTTTCGTATTTAAACCTGTACAAACTTATGCAGATTTAGTACTTTTTTCCCTTTACATGTTTATGAATTAACATGTGCTCTCTTAACACTATTCCAGCTTGCATGAAACAGCAAAGTATCATTTAACTGTTGACAATGCATAATAAAAAAGCACTTTACAAAAAAAGTATTTTGTGACGGTTTTTTATATGAATTTATACATATGGTTCTCCTTAAACAGTCCGTGAAATTCTTCATGTGATAATAACTAAAGTTTTGTCAGAGGGAAAGGGCAGGATAATTAAAATACAGGTTTCAAAATAATTTCTGAAGTATCTGACAGAGACAAGTGTTCAGAGTATTTTGCAGGAAAGACAGGTTGATTGTAATGGAAACATTTAAGACATTATTGTGTAGAGCTCTAGAACAAAGTATCTGCTGCACTACAACTCATTGCCCAAAGCAATGGGATTGTGGGGAAGAGAATACCCACTCTTCTTCCATACCTACAAACAAACAACTATAAACTACACACACACAATATAAGCTTTACATAGTATTTCTTGCACAAGAGTCTTGAAGAGAGTGAATCCTCCTCTTTACGCATCATGCTTCGTTCCTCCCAAATACTCTCATGAAGTGCAGAAACACAGAAAAGACCCCTTAAAATAAATGTGCTCAGAAGGGTAATTGGCCTTCATTCAAGGCACTCAGATACAACTGTATTTGATCACTTTGTCAAAAAACATTAGCCTACAGGCTGCTGTGAACATTTAAAAAATATTTTGGCAAGATCCCTCTCTCATTCCATGGTTTTAACCATGATTAATTATTTTGAATACCCCAAGAGATTATTAAATAGATATCAATGATTTTGTTTGCCTTTTGGAGTAGATAATACAACTAAAAATAACATCAACAAAATTCTTTGCAAGTCAACAACAACCAAACAAATCTCAGAAAATGCAAGCCTGATGAAAACCCACTGAATTTGTCTAAATGTTTAGAGCTCTACATTGGCTAAGCTTTTAAATATCCCCTATTCCTCAAAATTTCTTCTTGGGTATAAGACCAGTTTTGATCTTGAGAGTGAAATGGTGGATGTCTGTTTATGCGTACATACATCGGTGTGATAATATGCAAGTTAATCATTCGAGTACAAAGCTAATGTGGTTGCAACATTTGTACTTGAAGTACAGTCCTGTGCCAATTTTCATTCTCCTGCATATTCTGATTCATTTAAACTTATATCCTACAATTTACAGGAATGACAGATATCAGTTATGATAACAACCCCACTCATTTACACCAAGAAATTAATGCCTCTGAAAATACCCTTACAAAATACAGACCTTTCTGCTTCCCCTAAACAAAATAAAACCACCACCAAAAATGAGTTATGGAAAAAGTATGTTCCCTTTGGCCAACTAGAGATGAAATAAAGGCTTTGATGAAACAGTAGAAAAAAGCAGGACTACAGGGAAAAAATTTCTTTCCAGATGGAATAATATGTAAAGTCAACATACATAAATGATGTCCTGTATGTGGCAAATCTCCTCGCATAGTCCATGCTCTGAATTCTGCTTAGCACGGGACAGACAGAGAAGTGCAGAGCCTTCCTCTAGTAGACTCATTTGCTAATCATTCATTTGAAACACAAGCCAGGTGTCTCATTATACTGTCTTGGAGTTGTTATACAAATTAAGAGGACGACACCCTGTAAACCTCTTATAGAAAACTGATATCTATGGGCAATAAAAAAAAATGGAGCAAATGTAAATCATCTGGAGAGAAGGAGGAAAAAAGAAAAGGAGAAGAGTTCTTCAGAACTTCACCCAAAAGCTTGCAGCAGGAGTAATCAGAGGCAAGATAAGGCTGGAACCCACCAAGATGTATGTTTGTCCTACTCCTTTTTTCCATAGAAGGCAAAACAGACAGGAGATGCATGAGTCACCCTTATGTATACATATATATACACACACATTACTATTACAGAAGTCTTACTCTGGAAGAAAATGTATATAGGAGATGAAAGTGAGGTTGGGACAAAAGCCTTAGATAGAAAGTAGCAACCTTACAGATTTTCTTTAAATGAAATGGTTTTAAAAATCTTAGCATCCACAAGAGCTATAGTTTTGTGAGACAAAGTTGTTATTCAAAGTTTTAAATATTTTTAAGTTTATCCCTAGCCTTTCTAAGTTTTAATTCCTGAGTTTAAACAACCTGTCATCAGTTTGTAAAAGTCCTACTCTGTGAGGAGAGGCTAGAGGGCTCCTGAGAGAAATCATGGCACCAGAGCTCCCCTCCTCTCAGCAGGATAACTTCCTCTGACTACTCCTAGGTTTCTCCTCTTAGCTCCCAAACAGGATATTCAGCAATGCCCACGAATGGAACGTTACAGCCATGGAGGACAGAGTGGATTCATTTCCAGCACAGCTGCAGTCAAGCACCATTCAACAGCAAAACTGCACTGACAAGTAGCAGTGAAATAAAACATCTCTTGCACCATCATTTAGTACAGGAGAGGTGCAGTCTGAAATTCTATTTTCACTAGGTATTACTGGCTACTGAAGATGTTCTACTGCTTTTAGAACACAGCAGGGTTCATGTATTCTACACTTCAAAGCACCAATTAGAGAGATTAAAGAGCCTTGCTTAAATGTCTTGTTAAGAAGCTTCTGAATTGCTGGGCCAGCACTGGACTTTAGAGGACTTATAAATTTGCAGTCCCTTTGCAGCTTCATTAACATAATTGGCACAAAGACTTACTTAGAGCTATTTAAACTGTTTTTATAGATGCAGCATATCAACTGATCCCTTTGGAGTCTTTGGCAAGTCAGAGGTATCCTTAGAACTGTAGAGGGACCTAAATAACATTTACACTATAATGATGAAGTAGACTCCTCCTAGGTAAAGGACTTGCTGAAAGCAAATGCTTGATTACTGCAAAAGGTGTACTTAACTTGTCTGTTTTCTGTTAAGCATTTATCTCCTTCATACATATTAATAGGCATACCTAGACTAGCATCTTAAAAGACAAAGTGTTCAGCATTTACACTAAAACTACATTAAGGATCTGCCTTACTGTAAAAAAGAACAGTTCTTGCAATATCCCTCCAATAAATAATTATAGTTCAGGCCTTATTTTCCAAGTGCAGGATAATTATCAGAATTATATAAGATTTGGGTCACTTCAGTCAAGCACTTCTCCAACTGATAGGTATAATTTCAAAAAACATTACTCTGGATACACTCACAAAACCAGGAAAACATGAAGTCAAAAAGAGACAGATTAAAACCTTTGTCTCTTTTCATGTTTTCATCCATTAAGAGGCACCTAAGTGAAATGCTTTGGGTGAACTTTACTGACTTTCACAAGCAGCATTTTACCTTGTATGTGAGTTACATTTGACGATTTTGACATGAAAAGCACTTTTAAATGTTTTAAAGACAGTAACTGTGTTAAAATGGCCTTAGGAACATAATCAGACTGACCTTACTTTTGGGCTTTCTAAACCATTAAATGACAATTTAAACACAAAAGGTCTGACTTTTCAGTACAGTCCTTAGACAAAAAAATAAGGCAGCTATGTACTGCTCCAGGAAAGAGATGAAAAATTCAAAGTTTTACCTCTCCATGGACCTATATCCTATACCTTCCTCCCCTCCCCTCTCTTAGGGTAGAGTGTGGGAAAGCATAAGAAAGAATAAAGTCTTCACATGTTACGAATGTGTTTCTCATTAACTGAGTACATTACAATTTTATTA